GAGAAACACCACGTCTATAAGGTCATTAAATTTCAAATTCTTAAGTGCAGCCACCGATGCCACAAATTTATCTAAAAACTGCTCTAAGCCGTTGATGTTCGCGGATGATATAGGTTTAAGATCGAATATCTGGTTCAAATATTCGGAAGCTAACATTCTCCTATCTTCATATTTAGTTTTAAGCGTTTCGAATATTAACAAGTAATTGTTTGCTGTAGGTGTAAAACCCGAGCAAATTGACTGTGCTCTGCCACTAAGTTTACTAATAAAATAATATAATTTTTCAGCGTCCGATAACGATGGGTTGTTGTGTATATTGTTTTGAAAACTACTGAAGAAGAAGGGCCATGTCTTAATATCACCATTGAATACCGGAATATCTATTGGCGGCAACCTAATTGAGTCACGTGGACGTACCTGTATTTCCGGCTTTGCTTCGTTTTGAGATTGTAAGAGTTTCTCCGTTCTTTTCACGCGACACAACATATCTTCAAATGCTAGAAGCGGTTGGTAGTTCACTATGTATTTCGGGTCGATTTGTAATTCCAAATGATTAATTTGGTCTAATATTCTTTCGTAATCCGTCCGCAAAGAATCTACCGTTTCAATTTCATTCAAAAAAGTTTCCCGCACTGCTTTTACATTGATGTTCTTTATGTGATCACTAATACTTTGTATACGTGAAAAAAGTATGTCCCTCTTGGCATAAAGCGTTTTAATTTTAATTTCATTTCCACTAACTGCCATTTTAAATTATTGTAATAAAGTTATATTAATCACAATTAATCTCACAACGCACAAATAATGGAGAATGGACACTCGTATGCCGTATTACGTAATTAAATCGAACACCTGTTACAGCGAGTCGAGGTGACGCGTGTCGCTCGCTAGACTCAATATATTTTTATCAAAATTGTCGGGTACGCGTACAAAACGATTGCTATTACACTGTTTCAATTATTTAAGCGACTAATAAGCTTTAAATTTAAACCAATTACAAACACTATTTAAATGAATAATTCTGTTTGCGAGTACCTAACCAAATTTTAAATTTAAACGAACACTATTTAAGACTATTCCATAAACTAGAGTGCATTATCTAAATAATTAATCTAATAATTCAACCAGAAAATGGTTGAACGACTACTAAACACCAGTCTAAATCCTGCCGAAGTGACCATAAATGGTGGAGCGTCGAGCCTAAGGTTGCCGAAGTCTAATTCCCCGGTTGAACCTTAAAACCTAATACGCGAGCTATTAATCTAAGTGGACTGTATCTACTAAATGTTTCTACACTTATATAAACGGCAACTATAGCATGCGGTACAATGCACTCGCTCTTCCCTAAAACGAACTATTATTTGCCAAATCGATGAAAGGAATCCTGCTTGATTAGGAGAAAACAAAATTGGAGCGGGTTAAAACACAATTATATCAAGCAGGCAATATTATTAGGAATATTGACTCACCGGGGGTCTCTTCTATGCTGTTGGGCACTATAGCTGCGACTTCTGGAACTTCTTCTGGACAGACACTCTGGAGAGAGGCGGTGCGCGACTATATCTCACACGAGGTGAGGCGGGTTTCCTGGAGCTTAACTGCTTCCAGGCTAAAGCGGTTCTACTAGCGGTGTGGTTCCAACTACGAGCGCGGCGGGAAGAGGCGGTGTGGTTTCAACGACGAGCGCGGCGGGAAGAGGCGGTGTGGTTTCAACGACGAGCGCGGCGGGAAGAGGGCGCGCGTCGGTCGCGCGTGCCTTTTATATCTTCGATTGCGATGATTACGTGATATTCTAGAATCATCTTCTTTCCCCACCCACCACACCACCCCGATGTGTCGATATGAGGGTATGAATGATATCGTTTTGGAAAGGGATAACCGATTTGGCAGCCTACCGTCAAATTAAATAAATACGAATGGTTTTCCGCGCAACCAGTCTATTTTTTCGATCAGATGCTAAACCACTTGCACATCCACGCACAATAAAATATTTCTCCATTTTTTAATGTTTCTTTTTGTCAAAAATTAAAAAATTACGGTGCATGAAAATTTTCTCAACAATGCCGTGAAGAAAATTTGTACATTATTCAACCAACTTCATCTACTTGTACTCCTAAACAGCTAACTTCGCAGCCATTACTCACTGACGGCAGCGCCGCTATAAATTCTACAAATTTTCAAAGATAGGCGGGCTATGCTTTAAGTACGTAGCGATCGTTCTTCTGTTCTCTAACCTCCATGATGCAAACGCTTTTTGATACATTGACAGAAAACAGTGTTTGAAACATGTTTTTTTTTGTGAAAATCGCGTTAGTGTAAACTCACGGGACACTTCAATTTTATCTTATTCTATGTTTAACTTGTGTATCTGTGTGTCTGTATATCGGTATGTTTATGTGACTGCGTGTTATGTGTCTGTATATCTGTGCCTGTCTGTTTATGTGTCTGTATATGTGCGTTTGTGTCTATGTAGCTGTTTGTCTGTGCATCTGTGTGTCTGTCTATGGCATCGTGGCTCCCAAACGGATTTTTTTTATAGTATAGGGTGACAAACGAGCACACAGTCCATCTGAAGGTAAGAGGTTGCTGTGGCCCATAGACTACATTTATCCTCGATTACGAATCCAAATTGCAGATGCGTTGTCACCCGTGAGGACTAAGATGGAATGCCTCATTTCCAGTAAAAAGGGTCTCCGGTTCTCTACACTCACCATACGAAATACAGCAGCATTACGCTACTATTTGACGTTGTATTCTGTGAGAGCGTGGTCCTTCCCGGTTGAGCCGACCCATTCGTGCTACAACTATATTACTAATATAACTGCAACATGGCTCTACCACGTATTGATGAATAGATTTACATTTATTTTTTATTGTCTGAAATGTGACTCGAGTGTGTCGATGTGTGTCGAGAGTGTTCTTAGCTATGATTCAAGTAAATCTTTTCTTTCGTTTGAAGATTAACAGCTCTTTTTGTTTTGGGGGTACATAAAATATAAAAATGTTAAATAAATAGCATTTATTTTTCTTTTTCCTTAAGTACTTAATACATTGTCTTTTAATAAGTCTTTTAAATGTTATAGTGCTGAGCGAGTGAAGGAGCAGATACTTAAGAGGAAATGCGGGCGGTCTTTTCTACATACAAACGCTCTTGCCTGTTTTCTTTCTGGTTTATGGTCTTATAGCAATGATTTTTTGCAGTAAAATAAATATCAACCTCTTCTATGTCCCTGTTTTCCATTTTTATGATACATTATCTTTATAAGCATCAAAACCTTTACAAAATCCTGAAAATTTCCTATTTAGACCGCTGTCAACAGAGACAGATACCGAAGAAAAACATAAGGACAGTGTATATCCTTCTTATCAGTTTATGAAATATGTTTTAAATTGGTCCAATATTGGAGAAGAAAATAGTAAAGAGCCAAACCTCGAATTATGCATTTTTACTTAGGCTATTCAGTCGGATCTGTAGTTGTCCATATCGCACTCGCACTTGCAGAGCGACAGCGATAGTTTCTTCAAATACCTAATTTTCAAAAGTCTCTCGGCCTGAATTTCCTCTTAAGTGGAGATATCCTTTTAACTTTACAAATTAAAATTACATTATGTAATAATCAGTGAATGCAAATAAAATATGGAAGTATTCTTAGCTCAAAAACATGACTCATAGCAAATGAAGGCATCCACAACTTTTTCCGACACCAGGGCGGCGCCACTTAGGAACGAGGTGAAATGTTTGACAAACTTCATAGCGAGAGAAGGAATTTTTTTTATAGAATACGGGTGACAAACGAGCACACAGTCCACCTGATGGTAAGTGGTTGCTGTGGCCCATAGACATCTACATCCATCCTCGATTACAAATCAAAATGTAGATGCGTGCTGGCTGGCATTCCATCTTAGCCTGAGGGCTAAGATGGAATGCCTCTTTTCCAGTAAAAAATGGTCTCCGGTTCTCTACACTCACCATACGAAACACAGCAGCTTAAGCTGCTATTTTACGCTGGTATTCTGTGAGAGCGTGGTCCTTCCCCGGTCGAGCCGACCCATTCGTGCTACAACCATAATATAGCTGCAGCGTGGCTTTACCACATATGAAAAGATTAATGATTCTTTCTGAAATATTGACTATATTTTATGTAAGTAAGATTTGGAATGGATGGATGATGTGGATGATTCCATTCATTGGAACCGAAAAGAACCAAAAATTTTATGAAGACTTTTTAAAAAAGTTGAAAATGCCAGGTGAACTGTGTGCCCGTTTGTCACCGTTATCCTGGGTATGTTCCGAAATACAACCCAGTGTACTGTCCAATGCAAATGACGTCATGAATCGACGCTATACTGGCGAACCATTTCAAAACATAAGACAGTATATGACGTCATACATTAGCGCCATATTGGAAGTTTTGGCGATTATTTTGTCATTTTGTGCTCCAAAAATCATTATATCCTCCTAATGGAGATACCAGCAATTATTCTATAATTTTTTGTATTTGAATAAATAAAAACAAATTTTGGCATGCTTCATTCAGCACACAAACAACTAAAAATTGTTTTATTATGGCCGGATATCCGACACATTACGCTGGCGGCACGCCAGTACAATATAGTGTCAATTGATGACGTCACTTGTATTCGGCAGTATACTGGAAACGTTTCGGAACATACCCCCTATAAAAAAATCTGTCAAATATTTTATCTCGTACCAAAGTAGCGCCGCTCTAGTTGTAGAACAATCATGGATATCCTTATTGACTGAATTCTTCGACATTTTTGACTTAGCTTAATCTATACCTGGACATGCACCTCTCCCGTATGAGGAAACATTTGACTTAGTCCCATGTTTGACAGATGGATGTGCGACTGCTGCCCTGGTGTCCGAAAAAGTCGTGGAAGTCTTGAAATAATACTTCCGTATATTATTTGCGTTCATTGATAATTCTACGTTAATACCACTTCCATAAATGTCCAAACAAACATGTCAACATAGGTCTTCAGAATATATAATTGCTTCTCACACTCAAACTGGAAGCGATATTGAAATATCTCGGCACAGCATCCAGTAGCTTCTTGTATTCTTCGGTGAAATCTTCCGGGTGGGCTATTTTATGTGCGTGGTGAGAAATGTCCACTATCGGCTGAGTTTGTAGGGTGGGGTTTACCTAGAAATCACAAAATTACTTCGATTTTTTTAATTTCGTTTTGTTTTTATGGGATAAGGGTGACAAATAAGCACACAGTCTACCAGATGGAAAGTGGATGCTGTGGCCTATAGATAAATATATCTAAACTAGATTATGAATCAAAACGCAGATGCGTTGTCACCTCTGAGAACTAAGATGTGGATTGTCTCGAAAAAAGCGTCTCCGGATCTCTACACTCATCATATGAAACATAGCAGTATTACGCTGGTATTCTGTGAGAGCGTGGTCTTACCCCAGTCGAGCCGACCCATTTGTGCTACAACCATAATAACATGGCTGCAGCATGGCTCTACCATATAAAAACCTGTTCCACGCAACTATGGGTTGTAGCCACTTACGATCAGATGGACGGTCGAGTCGATTCACCATTTCTACAACCATTATATAGCTGCAGTGTGAGTCTACCACATAGTTCTTTGGATAAGAATAGAAAGTCATTCCATTCAATGGTATTCGTTGGATTATTCAAATGTATGAATTGTTTTTAAACGTTATCCGTTGGTAGTTTACAAACATAAATTGCTCAAGGACAAACATCCAGACCAGAATCAATTATTTGTTGGCCATACAAATACTTGTTCAGTGTGGGATTCGAACCCACGGCCCCCAGCACAACAACTCATTGCTAAGCCACTACGCCACGGAGCCGTCCACGAATGATTTACACTTGATACTTTTTTATACTTGATTTTGATACTTGAAGATTTTTTTATTAAAAAATTGATGAAATAAATAGTCTTTGCTTATCTTAAATATAAATAACACCCACGCATTAACAGATCGTATCCAAGCAAATCCTGGTAGAGTTACTGGTATTAAAATAAAACTTACACTAAACGTAAGAGTGAACTCCAATGGTGCTAGCTTCTCGGAATAGGTAGCGGTGGAATGAATGACGAGGTAAACAGATCTGTTGGCGAACTGAGACGTCGGCTGCACGGGAGATGAGAAGGACCAGCTGGTCAGGTTCACGCCGGGCCGCGGTACGAAGGTCAAGGTGTTGTGGGCTGGACCTGGAATGAGAAAAGTTAAATTACAGGCAAAGACAGTTACAATTTATTAATCGAAGGGTGACAAACGAGCACACTGTCTGATGGTAAGTGGATGCTGTGTTCTGTAACAGAAACAGAAATAGATATTTTTTGCTCAATCTAAAGTATAAATAATATACTGGATGACTTTTTTACCGTCTGGAAAATAATAAGGTGTGACAGCTGAACGGAATAGAAGCCTATAGCACTGATATTTTACAATTTGTTTTCTTTTACATTAACATATCATGAAATTGATCTATCAATAAATACTACTGTTTGGGTGCGAATTAATTTAGTTTTGATGGTTTTTAACTGATTTATTTATTAAGTTAAAAAATTTTTTGTACCGAAAGTTTATTTCAAATTAGGAGTGTTTATTGATAGTTCAATTTCATTTCGTTATCTGTTCTATGTTCAGCTGTGTACCTTTGATAGACAGTAATGAATTAATGAATAAATTTATGAAGGGATGAATTAATGAATGAGTGGATGAACTAATGAATAAATTAATTAATGAATGGGCGGATGAATTAATGAAATTAGATCTCTTACCGATCATAACGCAATCCAAAGTGCAAACGCTATCAACGCACGACCGTGTCACGTTGAGAGTCGGTTCAGGGTCGAATGGAGAAGGTGGATCCGTGTAGAGGAACAAAACGTCATGCCTGAAAGTAAAATAAATTATTTTTATTTTGTTTATTTATTAATTATTAAGGTTAATTAATAAAATCAGGTAATACCAACCCAAACTAATAAAAAACTGCGGTTGACAACCCGCTCGCCAAGCGTGTCAACTATGGCAAAATCCCCCCTATGAGGCAATTTATGTGGGAGGCCTGTGTCCAGCAGTGGACTTTTATAGGCTGTGACGATGACAATGAATAAAATCAGGTATTACTTTGCGGAAATCCATTATTATAATAAACATATTAAAAGTTAATTAGGTAAGTACCTTATCTACTAGTAGTTTCATGATCATCCATCATCACAACTCCTAACACCACTACACTAGGGAAGACAACATTGTCGATAACAGGACACGTGTTCCGCCTCTACACGAGGCATCATCAGGTTAAGTAGACTCTGCGATGACTAACATCTTTAATATAAATATATTTTAAATATAAAAAGGCTCTAATCTAATATGTATATCTAAATGGACGTTACTACGTTTAATCTCATCTCATCATTGAAGAAAGAATTGCTATCACTGTGCACAGCTAACCTGAAAATTTCTTGAACATGTCATATACCGCTTGTCAAAAATATTCTATTGAATAGAATAGAATATTATTGGTTCAATATAGATGTAATTCTTATTGAGTCATTTTTCACCGCTGTTCTGGGTAGAACCAGCAAGAAGCCGAACAGGACTTTAAAAAAAAGTAAATTATTTAATATGAAAGGTTGTACAAAGTTTTTACAAAATTTATTTTAGAGACAGCTTCGAAGCGACCACTACCTCATTCCCAGGGGTTATTATCAACTATGTATTCATAATATGATATTTACCCTATTTATACAGTTTTTGTTTAATAAAATATTTAAACTTGGTAATAGAGAGATATTTTTTCTGGGATTTTGTTGCAATAGCGTTTACATTGCTCCAAGAATGAATTACTGACTCTGTGGAGTCGAGAAGGTGTCACTAGCTTGTGTTTGTTTATTTTTTACTAAAACTACTTTTATTCTTGTGAACATACATAAAAATTAAATAAAACTAATTTTACGGATTGCATTTTTTTAATTCCAGGTGTTAGCAGTACATCACAGTTTCAATTATCAAGGGTTGAACTAAAGTGTTTGATGTCCCGATGTCATAGTTAGCCCGGCTAACTTCACTTTTGCGTAGATAGGATCAAAAATTAATATTCAAAAACCCAAAATCTGTCCCTCTGTGACTTATGGACGCTCAAAAGCACCCGAAACGTCGGGAATGAAAATTTATTTATTTATTTTATTTTATTCTTTATTGCATCCTTAAACAAAAGAATACAAAGGGCGGACTTAATGCCTTGAGGCATTCTCTACCAGTCAACCCATGGAGTGGTGAGAATTTGACGTAGGTGTGGCAAATGTTCAAATTAAACGGGATAAAATCCGTAGAATTATTTTATTAAATGTGCTGTTCACATAAATATAAGAAATCACTATACCTTAAAATTTTACACAAATAAAGAGTCCCACAGCTGGGCTACTGTACAACTGTACTTACAAATACTGTGCGAAACTTGATCTGTAGAGGGGCAGATTGCAGTGTACGTATCTGTCGCAGTCTTCCGCGAAGTCAGTTTTGCTCTCAAGCTGTATCCCCCTCTCCTCTAGGGCCGGGAGCACAGTGTTCAGAGTATAGGCGTCGTGTCTGGTCACAAGAACTCCGCTTGTTCGCTCCACTTCCGTTTTGTTCGCGTCGTAAGTAATTATTTTAGAATGCTGCAAAAATAAAAAAATTAACAGCCTTTACTATTTTATGAAGAGAAAACTTTGTTAAAAAGGGGTTTTTTTTAGTATGTTTTTCACACATAAGAGTGTGAGATTTGGCATAGTTAACATTGCAAAAGCTATCATTTGTATATAATGTGTTTCAAATACATTAGATTTAATAAAATAAAAGATTAATTATTTTATGTTTATACTGCCAATGTCAAACATATAGCAGTCTGTGGTCTATAGTGTTAGCAAATAATACAATTTATGTTACAGCATATCACTTTTATTTTATCCGTTTATAACTCACAATTTATTTATCGTACAAATAATCACTGTTACTTAGTAACTTCACTATATCTTTACACCAAAAACTGTCAAGTCTCTTAAGTCTCAATACCTTAGAACTGAATAGAACTCAATGCCCCGCTTGGGTCGTGACGGCCATATTTATCCTCTTTTGTTAGGAGTCAAATCCGAAACTATTACAATAAAAAGCTTACCGGAAATTCAAACCCACAAAAGCGGAAATCCGATTTACATTTATTAAAGTAGATGGATATTTCAAGAGACAATTACATTAAAATTATGATCATTCTATATGTTATGCTTAATTGTTCTTTATACTTAATTGCTAACAATCGGCCTTTCCTGACATTTTCACGTCCCGTGAAAGTAAAGTATAAAATGTATTATCATATTAAGTTAATATTATTTGTAATTTTACAGTTTATTTTAAATTAATGAAATTACAATGCAAAGAATATTGAAGCCCAATTCATGTCTTCAATATTTACCTGCATGAGACCCCTTCATGTTCTCAACAGGCAAGAAGTAAGTAAAGAATACTGAAGCCCCATTCATGTCTTCAATATTCACCTGCATGAGACCCCTTCATGTTCTCAACAGGCAAGAAATAAGTAAAGAATACTGAAGCCCCATTCATGTCTTCAATATTCATTTTCCTAATAAATGATGACATTAATATAATGTACTATGATAAACAAAAATAATTATAAACAAATATCAATATTGTTTTTTTTTACAACTAAAATTATTTAAATAGTAACTAACTAAATCAAAAATATTATTTATTTCTAATCATTACATAAAGGAAGAAAATGATCCTTGCAACACTAATAACAAATTATTTGTAATCATATACTTATTCATTCATCGGTATTACTATTTGGACTGCATTAGTATTTTATATTAGTATCAGACTCATAGTTTCGTTGATAAACCATCCAAGGATTAATTTTATCAACGGAAAATATACCACTAAAACGTCTACCCTTGCGTGATATAGGTGTATCTTCGACTACATATCGATCGTTATCGAGAACCTTACATATACGATAAGGACCGCGAACTTTAGAAATTAATTTTCTGCTTTTACCTGTTGAAGGAATCTCTCTCTATTCTAACCAAGTCACCTACAACGAACTTTAAGATTTTTGTTTTGTTTAATGCCCGAAAATCTATACAAAGACGATAATCTCCTGTTTTCTTCTTAAGGGGAAATATAATGTCAAATGGCTTAGCAAGATCCTTCGTTATGCCGAAAATATTGCAGCATTCATTTTGAAATAAATATATGGTAAAGTTGAGGATTAATGTTAAGGTTTATGTTAGACAAAAACACGATTTCGTAAAATTTTCTCGATAGAAAAAAAATCCAGAGTTACCTCCAAAATAAACAATAAACCGCTGTCATTCATAAAATACTTTAAATAAGATCATGAAACTTTGTATACTAACTGAACTAACTATAAAGCAGTGCTTATGTTATTTACTTGTTTTAAAATACCATTATTTTTACTGTAAAATGAAATTACCTAAACTATTGGCCTTTTGAAGCGTGATTCCTGCAGCACGGTCACTTCGCCTCGGCCTTTGGACGGGGAGGTTGTGTCGCTTACGATCAGAATATACATTACGCAACAGGACGACGTAAAATTAAAATGGGAAATAACCGTAACAAAAATAAGAAGCGGCTGGCTTGGCGTTAAGAAACAGGCATAAATTTGATAAACCTAATGAAATAAGTGTCTAACGACCTTTCTACTTACAGTATTAGTGATTACAAACATGTCTGTACACAGCATACGACGCGCGGGCAAGTGGGGACGAAATTAAAATTTGAGCTGACTTACTCTATCCTCTTAATAAGGATAATAGGTGACGCGTATTCTGAAGTAGACTCTCTGATAATTCCACAGTTTTCTAATTCTTTTACCATAGCTCTAACACGCTCGCGTTCTAGTTGAGACAAACGGTACGGTCTATTTACTATGGGATTATTGTCATTTAATTTAATATTCAATTCTGAACCTTGTACGCATCCAATTTCATTTATTGCAAAAGCAAAGCATTGTCTGAATTCGTTTAGTTTATCACTATGGCCCACGTCTTTATCTATATTTAACATTGAAATTTCTATTAATGTAACAGGAGGAGCAGATTTATGTTCAATTTTATTTACATAAATATTTTGAACATTTTTTTTAAAGGGAGAGCTCGAACCAGTAGCATATCTTTCGTTAAAGAATATAGAGTTGAAGATACACATTTAATCACTACTCGTACCTGACCATTGTTTAGCTGTATGACACTGAATAACTTCATATTCACGTTTAGGTAATTGGCAACAACTAGATTCTATAAATAACTGACCCTTATAATTTGGAGATGAGTAAACATATATTTCATTATAACCAAAAGCAACTGACGTAGATTCAGCGATGAAGCAAAACCTTATTTTCTTTTTGTGAATCTCTTGAAATTATAGGGTCCGCCATCTAACGTTTTTTTTTCAACTAGTGCTTATTTCGTGAATGGCAACACTTAGCTCATGTCTAATTTGACAGATAATTAGTTTTATCCTTCCGCTGAACGAATATGGTTGTGTATACGCTTGAACAACGCTGAGAAATATTGCGACATTACTTTGAAAATCATGGTAATGTTGCAGAATGTGTCCGAAAATTGCGTACGGATTTTGGAAGAAATGAAGCACCGTCAGCTCCGTATGTTCGTTACTTTGTGAAAAAAGTGAAAGAAACTGGCATCCTCATCGATAAACCAACGCGTGAAAAGCCAAAAACAGTGCGTACACCCGAGAATATTGCTGCTGTGGCCGAAAGTGTGCGTGAAACGCCATCAACATCAGTTCACCGTCGTTCTCAACAATTGGACATTTCGGAGACATCATTGAGACGAATTTTGCGTAAAGACCTTGGTATGACGCCGTGCAAAATCCAATTGGTTCACGAGTTGAAGCCAACTGACCATCCAATGCGTTTTCGCTTCGCTAAGTGGGCCTGCGATCGACTTGCAGAAGATGCGGATTTTGCCAAAAAAATCATCTTTTCAGATGAAGCTCATTTCGAACTTGGCGGGTATGTAAACAAGCAGAATTGTCGCATTTGGGGCACAGAAAACCCGCACGCATTCATCGAAAAGCCGGTGCACCCAAAACGAGTCACTGTTTGGTGCGGATTTTGGTCCAGATGCATAATTGGGCCATTTTTCTTCGAAAATGAGCAAGGTGTGGCCGTTACAGTCAATGGCGATCGTTATCGGGCCATGTTGAACGAATTTTTGTTCACAGAAATTGAAGAGGAGGATATTGGCAACATTTGGTTTCAACAAGACGGCGCAACGTGCCACACAGCCGACGCTACACTCGATGTTTTGCGCCCTGTTTTTGAAAATCGCATTATCAGCCGCAGAGCTGATGTCGTTTGGCCACCTCGGAGCTGCGATTTGACACCGTTGGACTATTATTTGTGGGGTGCCGTCAAAGATAAGTGTTACGCCGACAAGCCAGAGACAATTGACGCTTTAAAGGACAATATTCGTGAAGCCATTGGTGAAATACAGCTGCACACACAATCGATAATGTACTCCAAAATTGGACCGATCGTGTAGGCTACTGCATGGCCAGCCGAGGATTTTATTTTTGAGCCATTTGAATGAAATTATTTTCCATCATTAACCGGAAGGATTGTACTTTCAAATAAAAAAAGAAATTTGAAAAAATATTTAGTAGTTTTTTTTAATAGCATTTTTAAAAAAAAGTTATTTGGCGGACCCGCTATTTTTAAGCTATCCTTATTTTTATAAACAACTATGTGATCTTGTTCAGTATACGTTTGTCCCAGCAATAACGAAACTCTTGGTAACTCATCTGCCACAATAAGAACTTGCACCGTAGCTTTAACAAGATCCACTTCAATTTAGACTTCACACGTACCGAGATATTTCACTACAGAATCTCCAAAGCCTCGTAAAACTGGCAAATTATTCGTTGACCACGAACCAACTAGACTTTTAGAAACAGATTCCTTCAACATGGTACATTGACAACCAAAATCTATGAAACAGTCTAATTCTATGTCATTAACCTTGGCTGATTTAAAGTATTTTAAATCATAATCAATATTTTTGGATATAACTAAAACGGTCTTGCTGTCTGCGGACCCTTGTTTCGGACAACTATCAGTTAAATGACCTATCTTATGACACGTGTTACACCTTTTAATAGTATTTTTACACTTAAAATATGGGTGTCCATCCTCACCGAAGTTATTACAATTTGGTACAGTTTTAATATCAGAACTACCTTGTATCGGCTTAAAGACTTTTGGCCGTCTGTTGTCAGAAGTGCTTGCTTGAATTGTGGTGTTCCTTTCAGGCCTCCCAACAGTTTTAACATTTCTTAGGAAAATTAATAATTTATCTGGGAATATTATTTTATCTTCTTAGGAAAATTATAAAACAATCTTTTCATAAAAAATACTATTCTAAAGACTCGCCAAATCGAGCCTTACACGCAAGCATTTCTGTTAACAGTTGGCCATTATTTTGATTACTTGGACATGCTGACCTTAGTTTATCCTGCCATTCAGACCAAGAAAACATTAAGCTTGGCAAACCTTGACACCGCTTTTGCGCTAAACCAACTAATTTCGGAAGAGCATAATGAATTATCTGACGTTCTGATCAACCATAAAGAGCCGCACACTCGTTCACCTTAACAATCCAGGTATCAACGGTTTGATTACTCTTAGACGGATCGAACTCTGGAACAACGTTTATGGCAGGATAACGATCGCTACTATTATCAGGTTTAATCGCATTAACTAGTTCTTTAAATGTATCTATTAAGTTATTTGCAGAAAGACACGACGTACCCTCATTGATCGGTGAACATCGGTGTTTTTTTTTTGCACTTCTTACTCTATGTGTGTCCTTTGAGAGGTCGGGGGTATACCTCGATGTACTGCGGTCACGCGGGGCATACGCCTGGAGGCGCCGCGCTTATTCAGCGAACATTTGGAACCACTTCGCCCGCTGCATCGCAAGCGCTTGCGTCGAGTGGTGCTGGAGTCAGTTCGATATGTTGATCTCGACTGTCGCTCGGCCCCACTGCTAGACTACATTGGTGATGAGCTTGGGCAAGACCTCGTGTTCGTACGCTTACGAGATCGTCGGTCCCGTCCCATGTTTTTGTCACTGAAACATTAACAAAGACTAGAAAGCAAAATGTTTTTTTTATAATTTCTATTTTATTTATTATATTTGATTGTTTAATATTAAGAAAATATTATACATGTAGCTACAAATTAAAAGTAATTAATTGGGTTGCGTATGTGAACAATACAGGTTTCAGTTTTTTTATTTAATTCTGAACACAAAATAAATAGAAAATATCTTAAATCCTGATACAGTATTAGTTTTAAATAGTTTGACTAGTACGCTTATGTGAAGCCAAAAAATGTTACTATAGAATGAGAAAAGAAAAGTGACATAATTTAACAATTTGAACCTAACTTGAATATTATTATAAATCAACAATGAACGATATGGATAGATGTTAACACATTATAAATTGTGTATAAAGTAGAGGGAAATAAAACTTACCTATTTATGTTTTGCCCAATGAGTCCGAAATACCGAGTTATCTTAGCTCGATATAATCCCACTTCTGATTTGTTAGCAAATAATACAATTTATGTTACAGCATATCACTTTTATTTTATCCGTTTATAACTCACAATTTATTTATCGTACAAATAATAATCACTGTTACTTAGTACCTTCACTATATCTTTACACCAAAAACTGTCAAGTCTCTTAAGTTTCAATACCTTAGAACTGAATAGAACTGAATGCGCCGCTTGGGGTCGTGACGGCCGTATTTATCCTCTTTTGTTAGGAGTCAAATCCGAAACTATTACAATAAAAATCTTACCGGAAATTCAAAGCCACAAAAGCGGAAATCCGATTTACATTTATTAAACTAGATGGATATTTCAAGAGACAACTACATTAAAATTATGATCATTCAATATGTTATGCTTAATTGTTCTTTATACTTAATTGCTAACAATAGTCACACGGAGTAAAAAATTGTAGCCAAAGAATTTTAAAATGTTGACAACAAACAATTATGTTCCTATTTCAATAGGCTGTGGGATCAAGACAAAAATGCATCTAGAGGTGCTTAGCATATAAAAAAATAAAATAAAAATAGTTTATCCAGTAAATGATTATACATAAATTATAACCGGGGATGGGGGTATCCTTTTAAGTGTAAAAACTTGTGTTAGGAGACTCCACTCTTCCATAGCACTTACATTACTATTTGCATGACCTTTACATAAGAATTAACTTTAAAAATAAAAAATAAAACTAATAACATTCACGTCAAACGTGAATGAACGAGTGAGTGAGTGAGCGTGCGAGCAAGCGTGCGAGCGAGCGTGCGTGCGTACGTGCGTGTGTGTTACAAATAAATTACATTCCTTCAGATTGCTTTAAAAAGCCTCAATATCATCATATCTCTTATAAAATAGCATTCGGTTAGAATATATTTGCGATTATAGTAGTTAAGGTGATGAATTTTTATGTTTTTATTAATGGCATTGTATAGAGTCCCTGACTGTTTTACATATTGCCTCCTAGCTTAAACAGTTTTAACAGCGATAGCTGTAGCCACTACGTTTTACCTTTTTTTGGCTACAATGCAATGGTTAAACTTTATACCCTTGTGCAATCTTAGAACTGAATATAAGATGTACAGTTTTCTAACAGTAAGTACATTACTTACAGCATAAAGATCTTCTGATCTTCTGCAGGTATATAAACTGTAATTTTATTATATATGTACGTCTCACAGTCATCTCACCAGTCCATGGGTTGACTGGGAGAGAATGCTTATAGGTATCAAGACGTATATTGTAAACTTTTTAAAGAGGAATGTAATAGTATTTATATTTATTTTCTCATCACAAACGGGTACAGAATTATTGATGACAAACATGTTGAACTGTAAACGAATTGAACTCTAGTCTGTGAGAGACTGGTGCCTAATAAAAGTATTAAACAATACCTGTTCTATAGGTCACCAGGTCCCTCCTCATTGTACATCTTTGTTAAAGTAATTATCTTTTCAATATACTGTACACGTTTGTACAGTATATTGAAAAGATAATTACTTTCACTGAATTGGTAAATAGAAAATCGATATTTAGTAAAATGAATGCTTACCAATTAATATTATAATGATCGGGATACATATTTTAGATTAAAGAACATATTAATATTGTAATTACATATAATGTGTGTGATATTATAGTTGAAGATGTAAGAAACTTTAAGTGGATTCGTATGTTAAAGATATGAAGCCAGTTTATTGTGTTTTTTTTTCTACGTTTGTGTTTAGGTAGAAGATAGATGGATAGTATTTCATTAAAAATATTTTCTAGGCAGTTGAAAGGTTTAGATTATTTCTCATTAGTTCATTAAAAAATATTAGACTAACAAAGTCCGTTGCTGAAAATAGACAACTCAATAGAACTGTCTCATAGGTGAATATGTGCCACAGTTACCACCATAAGATGGCAAATTGATAATTGCAGTTTTTTTATTCTTTAGTTATTATTAGCACTGCCCAGGTGCAGGTTCATAAGTTGAATACTTGCCACAATTACCACGCTTGGCAGTAGCGTTGACACACGCAATTTTATTTTCAAGTTGTATTTTGATATATGCTGCTGCATCTCTTAGTTTCTCTCTGTTGACTCTTCACCAACGGGATGGTTTAGTGTAGTGGATAATCTTACATCGTCACGGTGTTTAGTTTATTGGACAGTTTATTTTGAAATACTTACAAACCAGTAGTGCCTCTGTGTCGCAATTCCATCATCATCGTACGGACTCATCGGCACAAACATCAGAACGACGCACACGATGGATATTAAGCCAATGGGTAGCCAGAGTCGTTTTCTAGAGAACAGTAGTTCGATGCCCGACTGAAAATAAAATATATATTTTTTATAGCATTTGGTGACAAACGAGCACACAGTCCATCTGATGGTAAGTGGATGCTATGGCCCATAGACATCTACATTCATCCTAGATTAAGGACCAAAACGCAAATGCGTTGTCACCCCAGAGAACTAAGACGAAATGCGTCGATTCCAGTAATATGGGTCTCCAGTTCTCTACACTCACCATACGAAACACAGCGGCACTTCCCTGCTATCATAGAGAATCTTTTTATAACCAAAACCTGCTATTTGACGTTGGTATTCTGTGAGAGCATGGTCCTTTTTTGGTCGAGCCGAACGAATCGTGCTACAACTATAATATAGCTGCAGCGTGGCTCTACCACGTAAAATGTTTAGCCAAAATTATCTTTGGCCGACTTCAAAAAAGAAGAAATCCATTTTTACTGCATGTTTTTTTATCTTTTTTTGTTCGTATGTCACGCAAAGATTTCTATGTATTCTAAAAGACGGCATTTCAGAACAAAAAAAACTGTGCCACAGCTGTGGATCGCACGGACGAGTAGCTGGCACGGTAAACATGCTACGCAGGTGTACTATCGTTTACGTCAGTTACTGTTTTAGGCAAATACGACTTAAAGTTACTGAAATAAAGTTCAAATCACATTGACAAATTGCACACACAAAACTTGTGTTAGGTTGTCGAAAATAACGTAAGCGGTTTACAAAACAATGAACTAGTCTTCTTGTCCGCTTGCAGTCGACTAAACGAGTTACGGGATAACCGGTGCACACACATGCACAGTAACTTCTCATTAAGTTCAGTATTAGTACCGGAGTGTGGTATACATAAAAGTCTTTGATGTTAAGCGATATATCTTCTTCAAATTTAATTGGATTTTAATGATTCTGTTTTTAATAAATAAGTGTAAATTTATTGAGAGTTGTATGATATAAATCTGAAGAAAAATCCAACTTTTAGTGTCTAAACACACTATGACGAAGTTACGCGACCGAAGTTCGGCACGATTACGCCTGCAATGCTATTACTGACGACACATTATGCTGAAATTACGTTGCGCTATGGCGTACAGCCACACATCGGTCGGGCGTAAGTTCATCGGCAACGTATTCTATAAAGCACACATTATACGCGACCGAAGTTCGGTTCGAGTGCCGACGAAGCCTTTGTTTGCAATTGCTATTACTGTAAAATAGTCCATTTTTCGGGTTTCGCACCTCAAAAGTAATAAAGGATCTCTAATAGGATCACTTGGTTTTGCGTCTGTCTGTCCGGCTGTATAGATTACGGGACAAGACGCCACGACAGCTCTCGAGACACTAAACACTAGTGCTGGGCGTTTTATTCAGAAACACTTTTAAAAAACAGTTTGTCGAAGATCCTACATTAGGTTTTAAAACGAACGAAATGAATATAGCTCCACATTTCATTCTCGGAACTGTATCAATCGCAAAACGTTTACAAACTAGATGTTCGTTAGGTAGGTTCATAGGTGGGATCTAAATTAATACTCTATTACTATTGCTTTATGAACTATTGTCGTATAAATACAAAACAGTTATAGTAACTAATTTTGATTTGACGTTACGATTAAAGCTAAAATAAATCTTATTTATATCTATACACAATTCAAATTTGGTTGTAGACGGTTGAACAAAAACGAACGGACCGAGAAAAAACTGTGCTTTCGGCTTTCTCATATTCTTTTATGTAACTGTTTGTGAAGGTCAGCTGGGTCAAACGTATGTTTTTTGTTTTAAAATTTAAATCGGTTTCAGACTGAAATATTCTAGATAGTGTAAATAATGAAAACGTGTATATGAAATGAACTTTTAAATACGCCTGTAACATTTATCAGCCAGTCCTAAGCCTAAGCCTGGAAAAAGTATGAAAGAAAGTTCGTATTATTATTTTGTAAACAAACATGTGGTGAAGTCGTCACGTACACTGGCGGCAATATTTTTTAAACTGTTTCTCATTCCAAAAAAAAAAAACTGTTTCGTTTCGTTTTGCAAAAACCTGGAACGACCTACCCTGGACGACTACTGAACACACACAAAGTTGCGCAACTGAATTTCTGCCGCGTAAGTTCTGCACTTATGGTGTGATATCAGCCGAATACGTCGGAACATAAAATCAGCCGCGGAACTTCGGTCGCGTACCTTCGGCATAGTGTGTTTGGACAGTTAGGGATGAAAAATATAGGATAGGATGAAGTTTTTAATCTAACTACTTAGATGAAAATAGAATTGTTACCTTAAGCTTGTGTGATTTGATGATATCCCTTCCACTAACTTATTGAACTAAGTTTGTGTAAAAAGGGTTATTACAATATTATAAAAATTTATGGATGATAATAATCCCTGGGAAGGGTGATCGCTACCATTCTATTTCTAATTTGTCTTGTGTTGTTAATTGTAAACATGATTGTAAGCTATTATTGAAAAAAATAGCCCCGCTGGGTTTCTTGCTGGTTCTTCCCAGGACAGAGGTTTTTTTTGCGAACCAGTGGTAAATGAAAAAAATTTACTTAATAAGTATTGTTTATAATCTACATTGAATAAAAAAGTTTCTGTTTCTGTTTCCACTTAAAAGGGTTTAAATATTTTTTTTATAAATAATTTTTATTCTTATTCACTCTGTAAGCACCGACTTTAGAAGACATTGTGGAATTTTTTTTTAGTTCTTTATAGATTTTTAACCATTATAGAGAAATTTAATTTTCTATAAAAAAATAGACACGTTTAGTGCTTCATCATGAGGCACAACTCAATTTACCTTAACACTGGCTTCAGAAGCTATTATGTTAAAACTTTTAATCTGTATAGTTCTTTGAAGGCGCTTCTTATAAAAAAAATTCTTTAGAAGTAGAAACGTTTAAGTGACTCATTGTGGGGCGAAACACGTTTCGTCATTTTCATACATGGTAGAGCCACACTGCAGCTATATTATACTTGTAGCATGAATGGGTCGGATCGACCACGACAGGACGAAGCTCTCACAGAATAGTAGCGTAAAATAGCAGCTTAATGCTGCTGTGTTTTATATGGTGAGTATCTTCGTTAATAATGCTACTAGATTTTCGGATAAGCACTTCAAAATCGGCCCGAAAAATAAGACCACAAATACTTTTGTGGTCTTATTTCAAATTAGTATGGTCCAATCATAGCCATTTGAAACGAACATTGAAATGTAATAACAAGAATAAAATAGAGTAATGATTTCTTATATTTACGCGAACACTACACATTGAAATAATACTAATTTTTACGGAATTTATCGCGTATATTTAACTTTTTTACCCGACGTTTCGAGAGCTTTACAGCACCCATGGTCACGGGAAGGACTGAGATGTTCAACGTCCAGCTGTCATAGTTAACCGCGGTTACCATAGATTAAAATTTAACTTTTGTTCCGATCTACACAGTATGAACTTATGGTATCATGGAGTCTTGCAGTTGTATGCTTGGGTTGGGATTTAATTTTATTTATTATAGGATCCCAAGCAGATGGTAGCACCCAGCCATCTTCTCTATTGAAATTAGGATGTTTTTTGATTTCAATAGCCTCGCGAATCGTCCTTGGAAGGAATCGGTGTTCTTTAGCGAGGATTTGTGGTCTATCAAATCTGATGTAGTGACGGGGGCGATCCTGTACATGTTCACGGGAAGTCTGCAGTCTGGTATAATCTAGTATAATCATTGATCGAAGGTGAGTGTAGAGAACCGGAGATCCTTTTTACTGAAAACGAGGCATTTCATCTTAGTCCTCACGGGTGACAACGCATCTGCATTTTGATTGGTATAGATGTAGATGTCCATGGGCCACAGAATCACGTACCATCAGGTGGTCTGTGAGCTCGTTTGTCACCCTTATTCTATAAAAAAATACACATAACGTACACATGTAATAAAATAAACGCTGGCTGGTTCAACACAGTGTTGTATTAACTTTAGTAGTATATGATAATTGATATACGGATTGTTATGTATTTGTATAATTCACAAGCTTTATTTTAATCTGTTATGTTTATTTCTGTTTATTATATTTAGTAGTTTATGTCACCTGTCAGTAATTTTTCACTATGCCATAGGTTGTTAACATTAAGTCCACTATTTGTAAGTTAAAATAATAGTTTTTAAATACATAAATAAATAAGTATCGACACATAAAAATAATCTACCCACGTGGGTATAAAGCAAAAAGTTGACGTGGTAAAACCACGCTGTAGCTATATTATAATTGTAGCACGAAGGGTTCGGCTCTACCGGGGAAGGACCACGCTCTCACAGAATACCAGCGTAACATAGCAGCTTAATACTGCCGTTTCGTAAAGTGAGTGTAGAGAACCGGAGACCCTTTTTACTGGAAATGAGGCATTCCATCTTAGTCCTCACAGGTGACAACGCATCTGTATTTTGATTCTTAATCGAGGATAGATGTAGATGTCTATGGGTCACAGTATACACTTACCATCAAGTACTCACACACACACACTTACACACATACACACTTACTGTGTGCTCGTTTGTCACCCGTATTCTATAAAAAAATTCCTTCCCCCGCTATGAAGTTTGTCAAACATTTCACCTCGTTCCTAAGTGTCTCGTACATTTTATTTTAGTCCTCATGGGTCTATGAACGAATGTTTGTCACCCTTATTTTATAAAATATATACACGTGGTATGTATATATATACGTGGTAGAGCCATGCTGCATTTATATTAGATGTATAGTTGTAGCACGAATGGGTCGGCTCGACCGGGGAAGGACCACGATCTCACAGAATACCAGCGTGAAATAGCAGCTTAATGCTGCTGTGTTTCGTATGGTGAGTGTAGAGAACCGGAGACCCTTTTTACTGGAAACGAGGCATTCCATCTTAGTCCTCACGGGTGACAACGCATCTGCATTTTGATTTGTAATCGAGGATAGATGTAGATGTATATGGGCCAAAGCAACCACTTACCATCAGGTGGACTGTGTGCTCGTTTGTCACCCTATCCTATAAAAAATAAAAATAAACAATTAACTAAACTATTTACTTCCAAAAAATCTACTCACCACAGTACTAGAAACAACAATAGCGAGAGCTAAGCTGATCCCACCCACAAGGTAGTCCGGATTGTTGTTTGGAATCCGCCCAGCAGTGGGCAACATGATGGCACCCAGCCTCAGCGACATGGACATCAGGAACATAGTCGACGGCAGCGACAGAACGAACTCCAGTAGTAAGTGTTGCCATGCTGCAATATTTCATTATTACTCACATAATGATAATACAGGAATAAATTTTACGGGTTTTATTGCGTTTAATTTAAACTTTTTTATCTCCCGACGTTTCGGGCTCTTTACATCACCCATTGTCACGGTGAAACTGACGTGTTTGACGTTCTAATGTCATAAGTCATTAACTATTTCAAGAAGGCCACCTTCCACGATTAATTATAATTTTTTGGTTCGCATTGATTTTTGATTCTTTGTACATCGTGTCAAAAATAAATAAAAAACGTTAAAATCATACACATTTTACATTCTGAAAACATATTGTATGAAAGAATTTAATCCTCGACGAAATTATTTTATATTCTTTATTTAGTTGTATAGGGTCGGATATTGATTTTTATTGAAAGTTAGTTATTGATGACTTTTAATAAAATGTGAAAGCCGATCAATGAACGAAAAAGATAATAGCATCTGAATGCGAGGATTAAATTTTATTCGATATAGATTATTACGATCTGTATAAATAAATACATTGCAAAAGTAAAAGTAACTGCATAGGCCTGCCCTATAGATTGTATCATGGGGTGGATTTGCCATACTTGCCACGCTTGGCAAGCGGGTTGGCAGCTGCAGTTTTTTTATAATTTCGAGCTGTTATTCCAAAAATGCTGATGCCCATCTGTTGTATTTGAGTTTCCCTCTGTTGTCAATATAGGGTAGTGGAGATACTTACACCGCCACTACATGGTTGTATTTAAAAATAATTAATAAAATATATTGAAATCTCATCTTTCAAACGGCAATATCGTACAATATTCATAGATTATAAAGATATAAAGAGCAGTCTTATTTCAGAATGGTTAGCGCTCGCTGTGAATTTCACAATACGCGAGCAAACGGGGTTCGATCCCCGACGGCACTAATGAAATTTTTAATTGCAATTTAAGTGCTGATATACGTGCTCGGCAGTGAAGGAAAATATCGTTAGGGAAACCGGCATGTCTGAGAAATAAGAATAAATATATTTCGAAGACATGTAAAGTTCGCCAACACGCTAAAACACTCTCAGAAATGAGAGGAAGCCTGTGCCCAGCAGTAGGACTAATATAGGCCGTAACTTCATACTTTATAAAGAGTGGCACGCCGATCACATATATTATTATTATTACAATTATAATATGCTTTATAGGACATACTATGATATTATCATGGGTTTAGCACAAATTCTGACACTACTATAATTTTTGTATGTGATATGTTATATATAATAACTTTTTTTTTATAGAAGAGGGGACAAACGAGCATGCGGTTCACCTGAAGGTAAGTGAAGAATCGCAGGTGCGTTTCCGGCCTTTTAGAAAGGAGTAAGTTCTTTTCCTGAAGGTCCCTAAGTCGAATCGGTCCGTAAAAATCGCCGATGGTAAACAATTCCACAGAGAAGTTGTACGAGGAAGAAAACTTGCAAAACGCACAGTGGTGGACCAACAAGCATCCAGATGGTGTTAATGGTATCAGGAGGTTTGCCGCGTAGTGCGTTCACGAAATTTGGCGGTTGGGATTAATCCGAACAATTCCTTAGAGCACTCCCCGTGATAGATGCGATAGAAAATGCAAAGGGATGCAACATCCCTACGCGACGCCAGTACTCAATCGTCAACGATTTGAACCTCTTTGCGCAGGATGCGGTCAAGTGGAAGGTGCTGACACTAGGGAGCCCAGGCCCCGAGATGGGAACAGTACTCCATGTGCGGCCGAACCTGCGCCTTGTAAAGTTGCAGGCGGTGTGTCGGCATGAAATACTGTCATTCATCATTACAACCCTATACAAGTCCACTGCTGAACATAGGCCTCCCCCAAGGTATGCCACAAATCACGGTCCTGAGCCACCTGCATCCATCGACTTCCTGCATGTCTTACCAGGTCGTCACTCCATCTAGTGGGGGGTCGCCCCACACTTCGTCTACCGGTACGAGGCTGCCACTCGAGAACCTTTTTTACCCAACGGTTGTCGGTTCTTCGAGCTATATGGCCGGCCCATTGCCACTTCAGCTTACTAATCCGTTGGGCTATGTCGGTCACTCTGGTTCTACTGCGGATATCCTCATTTCTAAGTTTATCACGCAGAGAAACTCCGAGCATAGCCCTTTCCATAGCTCGCTGAGCGACTTTGAGCGTCCTCATACGGCCAGCAGTGAAGGACCATGTCTCAGTTCCATATGTCATCACTGGCAACACGCACTGGTTGTACAACTTAGTTTTCAGGTTTTGAGGTATACCTGACGAGAAGATGCGTTGTAATTTCCCGAACGCTGCCCAGCCGAGTTGAATCCGTCGATTGACCTCTCGGTCGAAGTTGGACTTACCTAGCTGGACTATTTGTCCCAGGTAAACGTACTCGTCAACAACTTCGAGCTTAGTGCTCCCAACAACTACCGGCATAGGTGTGACATGGACATTAAACATGATCTTTGTTTTGTCCATGTTCATCTTAAGACCTATCCGTTGGGAGGAACTATTGAGGTCATTGAGCATAGTGATTAAGTCCTCCAGCGATTCTGCCATAAGGACTATATCGTCGGCAAATCGAAGGTGAGTGATGTACTCGCCATTGATGTTAATACCGTATCTTTTCCAGTCCAGTAGCTTGAAAACATCTTCCAATGCAGCGGTGAAGAGTTTCGGGGGAAATAACGTCACCCTGTCTTACACCTCTCTGCAGTTGGATAGGTTTCGAGCTCTGGTTCTGTACTCGGATAGCCATCGTAGCCCTACTGTACAAGCACTTCAGGACTTCGATATACCGACAGTCAACTTGGCACCGCTGAAGGGACTGTAGCACCGCCCAAATTTCGACGGAATCAAAGGCTTTCTCATAGTCCACATACGCCAGGCAAAGTGGCAGATTGTACTCTTCGGACTTCTGTACAATTTGCCGAAGGGTATGTATGTGGTCTATGGTGCTAAAGCCTTTTCGGAAACCGGCTTGTTCGGGAGGCTGGAAGTAGTCGAGTCTGCGTGCGAGACGATTCGTAATGACTCTCGAAAACAGCACGTAGATGCGGCTCAGAAGGGATATCGGTCTGTAGTTCTTCAAGAGGGCGTTGTCACCTTATTTGAAGAACAAGACCACCACACTCCCGCTCCACGCCTCCGGAGTAGTGCCACCATGGAGGACGGAATTAAAGAGCCTCTGAAGGACTTCAAGTACCGGTGTTCCACCCGCTTTCAGAAGCTCCGCTGTAATTCCATCCTCGCCCTGGGACTTGCCGTTTTTAAGGTGCTGGAGAGCCATTTCAATCTCGCTCAGACTGACGTCCGGGATATCATCGGAATAGTGTCGGATAAGACCATAAAGTCAGCCAGCTGCTGGCCCCTACGGTTCCGTTGCCCTACTCCAAATTCCCCTACCTTCAGTTCACCGCTTTCTCTTGTGCCTAGTTTTGCGTTGAAGTCTCCCATCAACACCGTGTAGTGGGTTTTGGAGGAATGCATGGCTCTGGAAATATCCTCATACATTTCCTCCACCTCCTCATCGGGATGTGCCGAGGTTGGTGCGTAAACCTGTATGACCTTCAGCGAATACCGTTTGGTGATTCTGAGTATCAGGTACGCGACCCTCGTCGACACACTCCCAATCTTGTAGCAACACCACCTATTCCAAACCAATTGTTCAATCGTGGTTCAATTGTGAATCTAAGCCTTTCTCCAATTAATTTAATCACACACAAAATTTCATAAAAATCGGTCCATCTGTTTAGTGTATATATATATATATATATATATATATATATATATATATATATATATATATATATATGAATATATACTAGCTTGCCAGGCAGACGTTCTACCCTTTTCGACGACCTTTCGGCATGTCCTATAAAAAATCCTTAAATTCCCAACAAAAAAAGTGGGTCACTCATGGGCAAAAAAGTTGGACCAAACGATGTTCAAATTTGATTAAAATCGGTTAAGTAGTTTAGGAGTCCATCGCGAACAACGTGACGCGTATATATATATATATATATATATATATATATATATATATATATGTTAAAGATAAATAAATAACTAAAAAATCTTACCTTTCAACCGGAAATATCTTACAATATTCATAGATATCAGTGACACAGCGGACATTATAAAGAGTGTAACGCTGATGACATAACGCAAGCTACCTAAACTTGACCAGAACGCGAGAACAAGCAACGTTGCTCCGAGTAGAAGCCGAGTTGCTGCCATCGCTTGAAGCGTACGCAGCGAACGGTTCAGTCCGCTCTGTAAGGTATAAGAAAAGGGTAAAGTTACAGCATTTGTTCATTTTTGAGAGTTGTTACCATTAAACGACTACCACCGAACATCCCCCTCAGATTGCCTCTTAGTGAAGATGTTTGGTGTTATCGTCATATACAATTATTTATACGAATAATAATAGAATTTCCCTTCATCCAGAACTAAGTTGTATTTTCATTCTTTCACAGTAATAATAATAATAATGTCCTCCAGAGCGAATTTCGGCCACGGCGGCCTGCCTCAACGGAAGCTAGCCATCGGCGCAGGACAGGATTATAGTGTCCAAGTGTATGCGTAAAGCACAGGTGCACTCTCTATTCCCTCACTCTCGTAATCCGATGGGACGGTAAACCGACACGACCGGGAGAGAGATCAGGCGCAGGACCAACAGCTTTACGTGCTTTCCGCGGCACGGGGGTGAGACACCGCCAACTTCCTGGACTCCGGGTAGCTACTGAGAATTTCTTGACAGAAAAACTCAATAATTGATTTTTGGCCCGACCTGGGATTCGAACCCAGGGCCTCATGATCAGCAGTCGCACTACTACAACCACTAGACCAACGAGGCAGTCGTCTTTCACAGTACTAACTGCATGTACTTTACTTTTTTTGCTTATTGAATTCTCTATCTGCTGTAATTCTTGAGGCTCGAACAGCGTCAGTGTTTAAAAAGCGAGATAAGGAGCACTATGCGTGCGCGCGCGCGTGTGTGTGTGTGTGTGTGTGTGTGTGTGTGTGTGTGTGTGTGTGTATTAATTCTATTTTATATTGTGTATATTAGTTTTATAATTTAATATAACATTATGAGGGTGCACACTTAGTCTGCTTCTCTTTGAACCTGACCAGTATTGGGCCTGCTGGAAGAAATTTCATTATTAAATAAGCAGTGCCTTTGTAAAAAAATATCTTTATATTTGTACATTGTAACATTACTTTGACTGTGCATTACTTTGTCTGCAGATTAACTGTTAAATAATTAAATAAACCAGCATGGTAACTATCACTTCATTCCAATTTATGATATTTGCCATAGACATCACACTTGATTGGCGGAGAGTGGCCTATCTTCTGGAGTAAACATTTACAGGCCCCTAAAGAAGACATGTGTCGAAAGATACAATGTTCGCGTAAATATTCATATATTTACGCGAACACTACACATAAAATGAAACTAATTTTTACAGATTTCGGATGCTTTACAACAGCTATGGTCACGGAGGACTTAGGTGATTGACGTCCCGATGTCATAGGTAGCCCGGCTACCTTCAGTTTTTGAATAATAATTATATTATCCTCCCATTCCCCTATTACATCGGCATTCGACCCCGCCATTATATTAGATTTGATAGACCATAAACCCTCACAAAAAACACAGTTTCCTACCCAGGATAATTCGCGAGACTATTGAAATTAAAAAACATCCCAATTTCAATAGAGAAGGTGGATGGGTGCTACCATCTGCTTGGGATCCTATAATTAATTATATAAAATCCAAACTCAAGTGCCACTGCAAGACTTCGAGATACTGTAAGCTCGTACTGCATAGATCGAACCAAAAATTAATATTCAAAAACTGAAGGTAGCCGGGCTAACTATGACATTGGGACGTCAAACATCTCAGTCCCCCCAGTGTGAGCGTGAGTGCTGTAAAACACCCGAAACGTCGAGAGTTAAAAAGTTAAATTAAACTCGATAAAATCCGTAATAAATAGTTTCATTTAGTTTCGTGGACAATCACCGTTATAACTAAACAGCGGTTCGTAACTTATCAATCTTAGCTAATCAATGCTACTGTGTTTCTTATGATGAATGTGGAGGGCTGGAACCCATTCTTGCTGGAAACGAAGCATTCCATCTAAGCCTCAGTGGCAACGCATCTGCATTTTGATCTGTGGACGTCAATAAGGCACAACATCCACTTACTATCAGGTGGACTGTATGTTCGTTTTGCCACCCTTATTCTATAAAAAAAAATATAATCAAAGAAATTTTAGAAAAATTTGCAAAAGTCTGACCTTCATAAAATTACGAGAATCATAAATGAGTGATGTGACGAGCGTAGCTATGAGGAATGGGATCCAGTATAGTGGAACGGCCAACCAGGGTTTCGAAAGGTACCTAGAAATAAAAATTCTTCGGTCATAAAAATGTTAAAAATTACTGTAGGATAATTCCTTAAATTTTTTTTAGGGAAAAAGAAAGAGAGCTAGTTTCCTCCATGAGTTTACAAACTACTCAAAATTACGGGAACGTAAAATATTTTTTTAATACTATTTTATTTCTTACTTATTTATCTTCACGCACAATCCCTAACGGGGTAGCCAGAGAGAACAGATCGCCAAGTGTCACGATCCTTACATACCTCTTTCGCTTCTTTCAGGTTCATTAACTTCTTCATACATGCACGTCTAGGTATCCGAGTACTTTTGACCTTCCCCTCTTCGAGTAATTTGCTCACATGGTCTTCGAAAGATAGTCTCGGTCTACCTCGACAACTTTTAATATTTACTTTCGCGCTATATATTTTATTCACCATTCGGTCTTCACTCATTCGCTCAACGTGCCCAAACCATCGGAGTACGCCCCTATCAATTTTTGTGATAAGGTCATCTTTCAATCCTGCCATATTGCGAATCTCTTCGTTTCGCTTTCGGTCGGCTATGGTAACGCCGCACATTTTACGAAGAGATCGCATCTCCACTGCATTCAACTTGCTTTTATGCTTCTTCTGGCATACCCAGGTTTCGCTGCCATATAACAAAGTAGGCACCAACACTGCGTTATGTATTGCAAGGCGTGCACTCTTCACTACGCCTTGCCTTTTGACTAACGCATTCAGGGCACCATTGACTTTGTTCCCGGCAGCGACACGCCTGTCCACATCTAAATCACATCTTCCATCCCGGCTGAAAGCACTCCTCAAGTATACAATTTCATTTACCTGTTCTAGACATTCCTAATTTACCCATATTTCACATTTCGTTCTCTCTTCGTCCTTTTCAAATACCAGAACCTTAGTTTTATTAGCATTCAAACGGAGACCTTTAATTTCACATTCCTCTTTCATACACGTGACCAATGCCTGCAGTTCTGCTTCTGATGGTGCAATAAGCACTGCATCATCAGCATACAGCAGACAATTAACTTTAATGTCACCCAATTTCACACCCAAACAGCTATTTTTCAGCTTCTGTAATTTATTCTGTATTTTATTTCTAATTACAATTATAATTACTTAATTTACACGTCTCGACAAAAGTCAAAATCTGAGCTTTCCCTGATACGTCACGCAAACAAAAACGCTACAGCTACTGGATACTGCTTTAATGCTTATGCATCCCCCTTTAGGTATAAACCCTAACAACCCTATGGTCTTGTAGTTGTATAACTAACTGCACATGTACTCTAAATATTTAAAATCTGATATACAGGTTTCCTCACGATGTTATGATACACAGTTGAGTACGAAATCGGCAAAGGAGTGGAATAATTTGCCAGCATCTATCTTTCATCGGATTATTAAACTAAAATGGCAATGGGCCGGCCATATAGCTCAAGGAACTGACAAACGATGGGGAAGAATGGTTCTCGAGTGGTAGCCACGTACCGGCAGGCGAAGGGTAGGGCGTCCCCTCACTAGATGGAGTGACGACCTGGTAGGACATGCAGGAAGTTGATGAAATGAATTATTTTTATTCAATATAGATTGTTGCATAATACTTATTGAAGGTTTTTTTTATTTACCACTGGTTCGAAAAAATCTTCTGTCCTGGGAAGAACAAGCAATAAACTCAGCAGGACTTTTTTTTAAAACATATTTCATTTCACAATTACATTATTTTGTACAATTTTTAAATGAATTTTTATAGAACCAGCGTGGTGGCGATCACCTCATTCCCAGAGGTTATTTTCATTTATGTATTCTTTGTTACTATAATAACCCTTTTTGTACAATTTTTCTTTAATAAAACAGTTTACTTCTTTAATGACAAATTCTGTACGTTTTCTAGGATTTTGTTGTAAAAGCGTTAATTGCATTGCTCCATAAATGTATTACTTATTCTGTGGAGTTCAGTAACTGGTATTACAAGCTTATGTTTGCTCCTAGTGTTTAAAGTATGAACATCTTTATTCTTATGAAAGCTATTTATGTTTTGTGTACATTTTCATAAATATATATTGCGATGCCAAAGTTAATATGTTTATTTCTTTAAATTTTTCTCTAAAAGACTCTACAATTTGAGTTATAAATCGCCCGTAAGGCTCTCTTTTGCAAAACAAATATGATTTCAATGTCAGTCGCATTACCACAAAGTAAAATTCCATAAAGCATTACGCTATGAAAGTAACTAAAAAAAAAACTAATCTAGCCATCTCAACATCGGTTAGATTTATAATCTTTCTTACAGCATATGCTCCAGAACTAAGTCCGCCTGCTAATTTAAATATATGGGGGCTCAACAGAAGTTTCGCGTCAATAGTTGTTTTTCTTGATAGTTAGTCAACAATCAAGAAAAACAGTGGTATCCGCAAGACTCAACTCCTCCACATTTAAGGGAACATTAGTATTCGAATGTTCGACATTAGATATTGTAAATTTAATACTTTGTCTTTTTGCCGTTTAATAGCAAATTATTCGTGAATTCAAAACTTTTGTTTTCATTTTTTATAAAACATCAGTGGCATAGGCTTGTACTCCGTTCACATGTTAAACCTTATATTTTCCATACGGTAAAAAGGTCATCTGGTATATAAAGATAAAAGGCACAGCGACGAGAGCGTCGCTCTACTAGTAGCTGTTATCGCCTACATTGTAAAGTAGACAGCAGCATCTTCCTGATAACAACTCAAAATAAATAAAAAACTGCGGTTGCCAACCCGCTTGCCAAGCGTGGCAACTATGGTAAAATCTGATAAGGCAATCTATGTTCAGCAGCAAATCGCGCTATCAAAGTTCCGAAATAAAAACAGTATATATAGAATAGCTCCGAATTATCACACGTTTGGGCCCTCCCTTCTGCCAAGTTCGCGTCCGTTTACGGCTTAAAGATCTCTCGTCAGATCGTTAAGCCAATCACAAAAGGTGGTGTTAGTAGGTAAAAGTCTCTACATAACCACGCAGCCGGCTGTGTGGTATGCTACCTATGAGCATTCACCACCTCCTTCCCCCGTTACCGGAGTGTTGCTCTTATTTCCTTCGGACACAAAAAAAACTATCACACGGAGTTTTGGCCGCTCCCCGGATTAAACACCTTACCTGGCGGGAGATCTCCCCTTTTCCTTCCATGGCCACTCTGCTATAGATCTAAAAACGAGCTTAATATAACTGTCAGGCCCGTTCCTACTATTTCCAAAATATAATACCGGTAAATTGGGGTGAAAAGGGACAAATCTGAACTTCATGAAGAAAGTTGAGGCGTTTTTTTAAAGTAAATTCGCTATAAGGCGATCGTAATAATTGAGTCGTGATGGTATCTTTGTGATCTAATATTAATTATGCAATTAGCATTTTAGTTTATGCATAAAAAAGCTAAAATATAACCTATCCCTATTCATCCAGAAATTGGGGTCAATCGGGACGAAAGTAGGGTCAATAGAGAAATTCTCTAGAGCTGCCACTTGTGTAATAAATTATAATTTCTCTTAGCCTATTTTTTTGTATTATCTATTTATTTAATTTATTCAACATTATTACTTACTTATTACATCTATGTAATTCTTACATTTTAACATAATACTAGTTTCTGATTACTATTTAGTCACTGAAATAAAATCCACTTTTACTTCCATATTTATTTTTAATAAACAAACCTTTTGCAAATTATTTATTAATGAACCTGTATAAACATTTCAAAATCAACAAACATATAATGTAGGTATCAAGTTATTATAAAATAACTTTTAGCAAGTAAAATATTAAAAGTCATTAATTGACAACTCACTCTTAAAATACACGTCAATTTAAATAAAAACGTTATCTTATAAAATTACTATAGACATAGGGTGAGGCCAAACGAGCGTAATTTTGTGAGTCGTGAGTCGCTTTTTCTATGAAAGCGACCGACATTCTGCGACTCACGACCAAATGGTCGACCGCGTCTATCCTCTATGTGATAGCTGTAACGGTTTAAAGCCTGCAGTGATATCTTCCAAGTCGTAGTCCATCTTAATGTCCTTCCACCAATGTTAGCATCTTATATGTGAATTAAGACATGTCTACGTTCTAAGTGATAGCGCTAAGGTCCAAACGGTTAACCATGTCTATATCCTCATAAATGATAGCTATATTGGTCTGTACATAGCGTTTTAAATAACTTATGCTAGATATTCTTCCCAACAATTTTAAGGCTACAGTAATTGCTACTACCTCTCTGCACCGCATAATGTCTACCAGAAAATCCTGTCCAACAAGATGTTGATGGCATTTCAGTATACATGTATACATACATGGATATATTCTAAGTGATAGTTATAACGGTCTGTATATAGCATCTATATAACTCATGTTACATATTTTTCCCCTCAGTTTTAAGCCAATAGTGCTTGCTTTTGCATCCCTATATTCTCTATCTAAATATCCCTTTATTATTATCCGTAAGTCATAAGTATCAAGTGGATACCCCCACTCAGAGTAAATATTTATGTATTTTATTATGTACTTTTCTTCATCATCACTTAGTGCTCTTTGTCCACCTTGACTCTTCATTGTTCTCGTTACATGTCGATGCAAAACAGAATTAGCAATATTAAATTGTTTAGCTATAAATAGAAATTTATTTCCAGTTTTATACGTTTCTACTGCAGTTTTAATATTAAGGGATCGTACCTCTTATAAGGTTTTATACTTCTTGAGATATACACGTGAAGCATATCTGAAAAAATAAATTTGCATTATTATTGGTATATAAATATTTCCACTCAATATATCTACACTAAAATAAGCTTTCGGCTCCGCCCAGAGCAGGAGGTGTCATTTAATAATTTCCCATCCCAAAAAAACTGAGGCACGTATTAAATGTGACACCCACTGTTCGTCAGTAATGTTGTCAGTCCCAATAAACAGGGGGCGAGCCTGTTAAACCGGACACAATTTCGAACTCTGTACTTATGTAATATTTCGAAATTCCAACAAAACTTGGCCCGACCGGGAATCGATCCCGAGACTCTCTGCTCGGCTTTTGCACTTGCAATAACTAGACTAACGACGCAGTGTAATAATACTCGCTAGTTTATGAAATAAAAAAATCTATATAAAATATAAAGAAATAAACCTAATTATTACCTAGATTACATAATTTAAAAATTGTTAAGTCTGCTTAGTGATAAGCCTAAAAGCTGTACCTATTCATACATAAGCCGTTCCCATTCATCCCGTCCTCATCCAAATTAACCCCGCTTTTGTTGTGATTCATACCTGAGACGTCTCTATTTACCCCAAAAAATACATATTTCTCACGTCATTCTAAAAATCTAAATAATAGTAATATTAATTAATAACTGATGCTTACCTTTTATGTGTATGATGGCCCAAACACCAAATAACGTATAAAACAAACACTCGCATTCGCTAAATACAAAATAACTTTTACACAGCAAAGTTTTAAACACTGTAATAACCTTTGTTTATACTATTTTCAACTGGCATTTTTGACAGTTGGCAGCTAATTTCACGCTTGTTCAATGTTGTCATAGAAAAGTTCCAATAATCTACTATTATCCTTTAAAAAATGATAAAAGTTGAAACGATTTGCAAACTAATATTTAGCGTCAAAAATGTTTCCTGGTTTTTTCCCTATTCACCCCTGGATCCCTATTCCTCCCCCATTTTACGTTATGTTTTATTAACCTTAGAATAGGACTAAAACGCAATTGAATATATCATGAACTGGTGACACTCACCTCAATTGCGTGGTGGTGGCTGCCATCAAAAGCACCAGAAGGACTACCGTCAGAATTCCCACCAACAATGCAAGGATGCGACCCAGAGCGGTGACAAGCAAATCGATTAGTGATGAACGTCCTGAAAGTTAACCGTTATGTTAATAATTGTATTAATGGCTATGTCAGAATATTTACTGCCCCATATCGTCCCGTGTTAGTTGTAAGAGGCTACAAAGGGAAATTGAGACAGGAGATCGGACATCACTATATTTCTGGTAACATCTCAAAATAACAAAAAACTGCACTTGCATACCCCATGCCTCCTCCAGCATGGGGTTGGAAAATTGACATGGGGAGGATATTAATATTATATCTTTATCAAGTGATGGACTGCCTCGTTGGTCTAGTGGTTGTAGTAGTGCGACTGCTGATCATGAGGTCCTGGGTTCGAATCCCGGGTCGAGCCAAAAAATCAATTATTGAGTTTTTTCGTCAAGAAATTCTCAGTAGATGCCCGGAGTCAGGAAAATGGCGGTGTCTCACCCCCGTGCATCAGAAAGCACGTAAAGACGTTGGTCCTGCGCCTGATCTCTCTCCGGTCGTGTCGGTTTACCGTCTCATCGTAATACTAGAGTGAGGGAATAGAAAGTGCATCTGCGCTTGCGCATACACTTGGGCACCATATGTGATTTCTTAGCTGGTTTTTTATAGAATAAGGGTGACAAACGAGCACACAGTCCACCTGATGGTAAGTGGATGCTGTGGCCTATAGATATTTACATTTATCTTCGATTAAGTATCAAAACGCAGATGCGTTGTCACTCTTGAGGACAAAGATGGAATGCGTCGTTTCCAGTAAAAAGGGTCTCCGTATCTCTACATTCACCATACAAAACATAGCAGTGTTGAGCCGCTATTTTACGATGGTATTCTGTGAGAGCGTGGTCCTTCTCCGGTGGAGCCGACCCGTTCGAGCTGCAACCAATATAGGAACGTGGCTTTACCACGTAATACCACGACCGCTCCACTAAGTCTTAGAGGGCAGCCACCGCAGTCTACTTCACCTGAGGATGCCTCGTGTAGAGGCGAACGAGTGACGTATTACTGACGGTGTTGTGTGGTGTGTTTATATATAGTGCTGGCAGTAGTGGTGTTGGGATTAGTGGTGACGGAGATGATGCACGTAATAGAGGAAGTTCGTATTTAACGCCTTTACAGACTTTTTTCACTGAAACATCCCGAATGTTCGAGCATGTACCGGTCCCAACCGACGAAGTGTAGAAAGTTCTCTCCTAGTTCTGCCACTAGATACTAGATGGCAGTAGTAAAGTTCTAGCATGAAATTTTCTAGAAAGCTCTCTTAATGTCTGCTACTCGATACTAGATGGCGCTAGTGGCATTTACCGGAGGTGCTTTTCTAACAAGGTGAAATAAGCCAGTGGTTGATCACATTATATCGGTTGCGAAATAAATGATGTTCATTGATAACCATCCGGTTTTTATCCAGCGATATAATGTGTAATAAAAATATTTTAATAGTTATGACTCTTATATTTCAAAACAAACATACGCTCTTTGTTTGATACAATCAACAATAAAATTTAAACAAATCAATACATTATTCGTCATATGCTAAATTTACCCACGTCATATATTTTACGCACGATATCACACGCGGGAATAATTACGGATGTAATAATTATTATTTATAATCCCGTGCAACCTTGGTTGTAATTTTGCCAATGATGGTACTAAAACGCTATGTATCGGATGGAAATAATGCAAAGAAAAACAAACTGATGACTGGAAAATTATTCCATTCTTTTTCTGTGAGCATAACGAGTTGTAATTTGTGTGTAAAAAGGATACAAGGGTTAATTAAGTAAGGAAGTAGGGGAGGGGAGGAGAGGGGGGGGGTTAAGATTTTGTGAAAATTATATAACTAAAACGTAATGAACTCACTAAATCCAATGATCAACAAAAAGCAGGCGACGGTGAGAAAACTGAACAATGCAACCAGTACATCGACAATTTGCGATACGGTAGGCGAGTAGGTTAGCAGAAATAGGTTCAAATAGTCGTAGTACACTAGTGATGTTGCAGGCTCCTGGAAAAGAAAATATTATGTATTAAGTAAGCATTAAGAACAAAGTAATTATACGTAGTAAGAGTCACACTGAAGCTATATTATGGTAGTATGGTTGTAGCTCGACCAGGGGAAGGACCACGCTCTCACAAAATACCATCGTAAAATAGCGGCTTAACATTGCTGTGTTTTGTATGTTAAGTGTAGAGATTCGGAGACCCTTTTTTACTGTAAAAGAGCCATTCCATACTAGTCCTCAGGGGTGCCAACGCATCTGCATTTTGATTCTTAATCGACGATGAATGTAGATGTCTATGGGCCACAGCATCCACTTACCATGTAGGTGGACTGTGCGCTCGTTTATCGCCCATATTCTATAAACAAATCAACAGTTAATAATGTTCTCCAGATCGAATTCTGGTCCACAATTTTAGTGCCACAGTGTATGCACAAGAATAGGTGCATTCTTTATTCTCTCTCTCATAGTCGGATGGAACAGTGATCCGACACAATTGTAGAGATCGACTGCAGGACTAACGGCATTACGTGCTTCCCGAGACACGAGGTTAAACACCGCCATTTTTCTGACTTCGGGTTGCTACTGAGAATTTCTTGACAGAAAAACTCAATAACTGATATTGGCCCAACCCGGAATTCAAATCCGCGACCTCAAAATCAGTAATCGTGCCTACGATCACTACACTAACGAAGCAGTCCAATAAAAAAAGGATAGTTAGTTTGGTTACACACAGTACGTTAATAGATAGCGCACATCTCACAGAATACCAGAGAAAAGTTCAGCTGTTGTTTCTAATGGTGAGTGTAGAGAACTGGACACTCTTTTTACTAGAAACGAGGCATTCCAACTTAGTCCTCAGGGGTGACAACGTATCTGCATTGTGATTCTTAATCGAGGATAGATGTAGATGTCCAGAGGCCACATCTTCCACTTACCATCAAGTAGACTGTGTGCTCGTTTGGCACCTGCAGAAAATAATTCCTACCACCTAGCATAAGTCACCTCTCTTTTCTATCACATCCTTATATCTACGCATACATGCTCGTCGATTAAATTAGTAAAGTAGCTTTGCACTGCTGGGCACAGGCTTCACAGGTCCCACAGGTTTAAGTGGGAAAACCAATGAAGTATCACCATATAAAACTATGTCACGGTTATTCCCTATCAAAGAAGGTGAGTCATAAATATAAACTAAGAATAGAAAGGGGACAAGAATTGAGCCTTAAGGCCCCAGTCTTGTAAAAATTAGTGTTCTTGCAAAATTTACAGCAAAACAAATATTTTTTATAGTATTTAAAAAAGAAAAAGTGAAGCATATTTTACATTTATTTAAAGTGGTAGGATTTGATATTTTCGAAAATATTTTTTAATTTTATTTTGGTGTTTAAATTAATAGCTCTATTAGGCGTTAAACATGCCTATGTTTAGGTTACATGCGTGAAAGGTCTTATTAAAGCCTTTGCTATGTACACATTATAACAATATCAAAAAAAGTATTCAGATCACATTTATTTACATATTGTTTACAATAATCTGATCTGGTCACTTTTTTATAAATGCCTTAATTTTCTTATTTGAAGGGCTTAAAAAGTTGTAATTTCATGATTTTTTTTACTGCAAATACCTATTTTTTTCTATTAGAAGTATAAATGTTGCAAAGTCGTACTTAAAACCACATAAAATAGAACTATTTTCAAGTGAGTAAGAAATAAATGAAATTAAAAAAGTATATATTTTCGTAATTTTTACCTATATGCCATTTATAAACCAGAAACGCCTGAAAATTCTCTCAGTTCCGCTGGGATTTCTCGGCGTTCACACGCAAGGTTGATTTCTTTCCCTCGTGCAGCTCTTATGGACTGAGCGGAGCATATCGTGAAAGTTGCTCTACTTAAATATGTATTATTTTTATTTAATTGTCATATTATTTCTAGTTTTTAGTGTTTATATTAGTATTAGATTAATTGACTTGGACTTTTATATTTGGTATGCTTTATATATTTTAAGTTTTATATATAATTTATTACCAAAAAAAAAAAATGGAAAAAGATGGATAGAAAAAAGAAGAAATATCCTTGTGTCAGTAAAAATAGTAGTAAAGTACAAAATGTACAAGGTAGAGGCGAAATTTGTATGAAGAGGCAGTTTTTGTTTTCCTTCGATTGTATATACCCTTTTTAAACCTACACCCCGTATAAATATTACTAAAAACGACATTTATGAAATATAAAAGGGTATAAAATTATACTACTACGACAAAAGTAAAATGAATATTTTTGGAAAAAAAAATTTATAAGCTATATATTTAATGAAGTAGAGCACCTTCACCTGCGACCTCGAACGTATTTATGCACGGGGGAGAGCGCCCCCTCCAATGGCTGGGAATGTAATCAGCACAGCTAGACGGAAGCCTTAAGGAACGCCCATAGATACTACCAACCCGGAAGGACTATTCTCATTTAATAACAAATGTTTGTTTTATTTTTTATTATAATGTAATAAGTTTAAGTACTGTTACGAGCTTAGGGTTCGTGACAGTAAAAACTGCCGATTGAATTACCGAAATTGACACTTTAACTACCGAACACCAATTAAAACACACTAATTATTAATCACACAACACTTTAGTTCGGAGGTATATGGCTTCGAAGTCTTCGCTTGTCTCGCCAATTCAATACTCCCTCGGTCGCGGTTCCTAACGCCTTTATATAGGACCTTTTCCACTGAAACATCACGAATGTTCAAGCACATACCGGTGCCAACCGACTAAGTGTAGAAAGTTTTCTCCAAGTTTCGCCACTAGATGCGGCGCTAGTGGAAAAAACTAGCATGACTCTTCTAGAAAGCTCTCTTAATGCCTGCTACTCGATACTAGATGGCGCTACTGGCACTTTTAGGCATCAACAGGACTATATTTTATAACACCATAGTGATGTACCTTCCTGATAAATGTCTTATGGTGAATACATTCGAAAGCTTTGGAATCATATAATATATCCAAAGCATCGTCTGAATTCACTCGTGCACAGAAAATATAATCAGCTCAATATTGGCGTCAGTTGTCGATCGGCCATTTGTAAAACCGAGGTAACTTTTGTAGAACAATTTATTTACATTAAACAAAATTACGACACATCGTCCCGTCTCAAAATCTGAAAATTAGATTGTACAAACAGTGCGTGTTGCCAGTGACGACTTATGGATCTGAGACGTGGTCCTTTACTTCCGGCCGTATGAGGACGCTCAAGGTCGCTCAGCGAGCTATGGAGAGGGCTATACTCGGGGTTTCTATGCATGATAAACTTAGAGATGAGAATATACGCAGTAGAACCAGAGTGACCGACATAACCCAAGGGATTAGTAAACTTAAGTGGTAATGGGCCGGCCATATAGCTCGAAGAACCGACAACCGATAGGGAAAAAAGGTTCTCTAGAGGCAGCCTTGTACTGGTAGGCGTAGTGTAGGGCAACCTCCCACTAGAAGAAGTGACGACCTGGTAAGACATGCAGTAAGTTGATGGATGCTGGTGGCTCAGGACCGTGCTATGTGGCATTCATTGGAGGCCTATGTCCAGCAGTTGTGAAGGGCTGTAATGATGATGATGGAAAAAAAATTTACATTTGATCTGGAATATTTTTTCAGAAATTTTACTGAGCGTTGGTAAGTACAGACATATTTGTAAAAATTATGTGGGGTACCAACATACTACCAGATTTACAAAAGTCTAGTTGACTTTTCACAATAGTTAACACAAATAGATTTTTTTTGTAAGTAAAAGCCGATATTTAATAAGTAAAAGATTGAGATAATTAGCTATAATAAAACAATGTCCACATTATAACTCCTTAAGTCGGTTGCACAATTAAGGATTATACCTCGTAACATACGTACATAAAAGAACATTAATCGAATAATTCTTTAACGATATTTCCACTTTTTCAAGTCGGCTAAAATAGAATGAGATCAACATTAAATCAGGTGATTTAGCGTTGGGATATGTCAGTTTTCAATTGGCGTTAACAATTGTAGAAAATCAAGTTAGCTAACTAGCATAGAAGATCTGTACCAATCACCTTTATCCCGAGGTTCTCGTAGTCAGCGACGTTGGCCACGAGTCCGAGGAGCATGTTCCCCGCGTTCTGCACGACGCCAGGCTGGAGCAGCTGCGGCTGGTCGTTGCGCGTGTGGTACACGCTGCCCCACTTCGCGAACGCTATGTCCACGCCTGGGATAACAATAATCTATACTATAATAAAAATCTAACACTTCAATTTCTGTACATTGAATATTTATTGAAATTTGAATTGAAAGATACTATAATATCGATACAGATGCTAAAACAATGTTTTTTGACCTTGTATGTCTGTCCGTCTGACCATGTATCACACAAAAACCAGAGAACAGATTTGAATGGGACTTTCACTATAGTTTATATATCATCACTCTATCTATAATAGGAGCTGGACAGTAGGCATCATATTAAACAACTTTATAATATACCATAAACAAAAATTACACAATAAGTTGTACAATGGGCGACATTATCCTACATTATTAAGCGTGGCAACATATCATTGTACAGCTATGTTATAGTTGTAGCAATGGGTGGGTTCGATCAGGGGAGGCAGCTAACGGAATACCAGCGTGAAATAGCAGCATATGCTGCGGTGTTTTTCATATGGTGAGTGCAGAGAACCGGAGACCCTTTTCACTAGAAACGAAGCATTTTATCCCGGTCCTAAGGGATGATAACGTATCTGCACTTTGATTCGTAACTGACAATAGGTGTAGTTCTCTATGAGCCACAACACCCACTTACCATTAGGTGAACTGTGTGCTCGTTTGTCACCCCTTATCATAAAAAAAAATATCAAAATATATTCATAATACGATACTGAAATATCTTCCAGTATACTTACACAGGAATAGTTCCTGACAGGAAAATTAATTAAATAATATAAAATTTAAAAGTAAAAGTAAAGTTACAGCCTATATACGTCCTCGTTTAATTACAATTTTAATTTATTTTTATTATCCCGACGTTTCGGGTGCTTTACAACACCCATGGTCACGGGGGAGAGATGGGGACTATTACATTGGGACGTCAAACATCTAAGTCCCCACCCATCCACCCACAATTAAAAGCGATAAAATCCGTAAATAATAGTTTTATTCAATGTGTAGTGTTCGCGTGAATTTAAGAAATCATTATTTTATTTTTATTCCTCAGACATGCAGGTTTCCCCCACGATGTTTTCCTTCACCGCCGAGCACGTGGTAAATCAGCACTTAAAATTGCAATTAAAGATTTCATTGGCGCCGGCGGGGATCGAACTGTACTGTGAAATTTACAGCGAGTGCTAACCATCTGAGCTACCACGGCTCTGATATAAAAATTCTATATTCTATTTCTAATATGAATATAAAATTTACTTGCTTCTATAGGTGCGAAATTTACCATTTTAGAAGATTGTTATAGAAAGAATCGGCCTGCAAAGTAATTAATAATTAATCATCATCAACATCATTATGACAGAATAGAACAGAACATACATAAGCCTCCACCAAGGTATGCCACAAAGCACGGTCCTGAGCCACCTGCATCCATCGACTTCCCGCATGTCTTACCAGGTCGTCACTCCATCTACTGGGGGGTCGCCCTACACTACGGCTGCCGGTACGAAGCTGCCACTCAAGAACCTTTTATCCCCATCGGTTGTTGGTTCTTGGAGCTATATGGCCGGCCCATTGCCACCTCAGCTCCACAACAAAACCATTCCTTGTTGGTCATAACATATGTTATATTTAACGGATTGGGGCTTCCTTCTACGTTCTTGGTACTTGGTCCTTCAAGCCGGACCAAAGGGAATGTATTATGGCCACTTTCCATACATTGATTGACCTGTCACTTGATTCCTTTAACAGGTCGCTTCTTTTCGTCGCGTCGCGCGATTTTTTGTAGTTAATAAAGAGTTTTGAGTAAATAGTATTTAGTACCATTGTTTTCCTCATAATCACGAAGTCAAAATTATTTTACGGCACGTCTATAACCTAATTTAACGTTTCTTAACAAAAATGGCACCTTGATACATAAATGGGGTTGCGACCCTGGTATAAGAGCTCAGTATAATTACGGGCTTTGCGGCATGTGTAACCTTCTTTGTATGTAGCTGGCTTCAGGTGCCCATGGACCGCAGCTAGCACCTACCATCAGGTGGATGCTGTGTTCACTGATGTGGAAGAGAGAATCAAATTTCGAAGCATTTAATGGTATTTCAAACACATCCTCTTATCATCTCGTAAGGATCGTTAGAGGCGATTTAAGATCTAAATCTAAAAAGGCACAGGCAACAAAATTTTCTTTTATAGAATAATGGTAACAAACGAGCACAAAGCCTACCTGATGGTGAGTGGTTCATGTGGCCCGTAGACATAAATCTATCCTCGATTACGAATCAAAATGCGGATGCGTTTTTACACCGAGGACTAAGATGGAATGCCTCGTATCCAATAAAAAGGGTGGAGAGTTATCTACACTCGCCATACGAAACACAGCAGCATTATGCTATTTCACATTGGTTTTCTGCAAATGTATAGTCCTTTCCCGGTCAAACCGAACCATTCTTGCTACTACGCTGCACTAAAAGTATCGGGAATGGAATATTTCCACTGTTCCTGTCATACTAAAATCTTTTTAATTGAAATCTTTTTGATTTTAAAAATCGAATAACATTTATTTAATTTAAAAAAATTCTCGGTCTTGTCACAAGGTTTTGTCAAACTTGTTTAGTCGTTGAGAAAATCTAATTGACTCGAGTAAATTCAAGAGCGATGATTTATTATGACTTTCAAAGTGGTTTAACACAAAAACAGTGTGTTGACCGGATGATTTCTGGATTTGGTGATGAAGCCCCATCCAAAACCACAACTTATCGCTGGTTTGCTGAATTTTAACGTGGACGTGTCAAGCTCAGTGATGTTCCCCGTCAAGGTCGTCCAAAAACTGCAGTCACCCAAGAAAACGTTGATGCTGTGCGTAAGCTGTTTGAGGAAGATCGACATGTGACATACCGCGAAATTCAGGTAACTTTAGACATTGGCATAACTCAAATACAAATAATCTTGCATGAACAATTAGGTGTAAAAAAGTTGTTTTCTCGATGGATACCGCACTCGTTTTGTGAAGAGCAAAAAACGGCTCGCGTTACTTGGTGCGTCAGAGCTCTCGAAAGATTCCACGCAGGATCCTCAAATGCTGTATACAACATCGTATCAGGTGACGAATCCTGGATATACACGTACGAACCCGAAACAAAAAACCAGTCACAAGTTTGGGTGTTCGAAAATGAGTTAAAGCCAACAAAAATTATCGTTCGCGGAGTGTGTGCAAAAAAAATTCAAACGGATATTTCTTGAGGGAAGATTTGTGGTTGTGATTTGTTGCGGGTTGACCGTAAAGAGAACTGCAACCGCCGCATCATCCTCCATCACGACAATGCGAGTTCTCACACCGCACACAGAACAAAAGAGTTTTTAGAGCAAGAAAACATAGAATTATTAGACCATCCGCCGTACAGCCCCGACCTAAGCCCTAATGATTTCTATACTTTCCCTAAAATAAAGAATAAATTGCGTGGACAGAGATTTTCATCACCGGAAGAAGCTGTGGACGCCTACAAAACGGCCATTTTGAAGACCCCAACTTCCGAATGGAATGGTTGCTTCAATGATTGGTTCCATCGTATGGAAAAATGTGTCAAATTTCGCGGAGAATACTTCGAAAAGCAATAAATACATTTTTAAATAGTAATGTTGTGTCACTTTCTTGATTCCCGAAATTTTCAGTGCCGCCCTCGTACAACGTAAAATCCTCACCGTGAATATCACCGAAATCCCTCCAGATTCTGAAGTCCGTGTCGGAGGGTATGATGCCAGATTTAAACAGGAACTCTCCGAAGGCCTGAGCGTTCGGTCTGTTTACAGAGCGTAGATAAGCCGATATGATGCGAGGGTCTGACACCTGAAATTAACACACATGTCATGGTATTACTACTACGGTGTGCTACTAACGACATCATATAAAGGGGAAGTGGGTTTCTTACAATGCCACAACATGGCGAACGAAAAGGGTGCTAAAACAAAGCTTAAGGGTACACTAGTCACTCATTCTTCCATACAAAAGTAGTCTGGCGATTACTCCACTGTTTGATGGCGTACGTTAAAAATAAAAAAAAATATTTCAATTTGTCTCATCATTATCTATCCCTGTATGGAAACAAAAAAGTTAAAAAGGGTATATTTAAAAGTACTAATTTTAACACACCTTTAGGCGGAAATAAATACCATAAGAAAAACGAAAATTGCAAAACAGTTACCATACAGGAATAGATTAGTATTCGAAAGTGCAAATAATTTTATTTTGAACAGATACATTCAATAGATTTTTTATGATATCCAGATTCCCAAAGGTCTGTTTATAAAATTTCGCGCGCTCGTTTTGTTGTAAATCATTATGCCTTTCGCTTTCGTACGTGATGTCGACTGAGATAGCATGCATTTTAACCCCGCCCACCACTTAGTTCGTGCCATTGACTAGGGCCACCTTAAACAACATAAATGTCTATATATTATATTACTAGAACTGTAATTTGGAACAAACACTATGCCACAGTCACAACCCGTGATAGCTGAGGGGCCAAGCGCGCTGTAAACTTCACAGTACGCGAGCAACCCGGGTTCGATCCCCGCCGGCACGTATGACATTGTTCATAGCAATTTTAAGTGCTTGTGCAGCTTTATTTATATATTTGTAGATAATTAATATATGTACATGTATATAATATACAAATATGCATACATATATATATATATATATATATATATATATATATATATATATATATATATATATATATAGTATACATATGTCCGGTTACCGGTGTCGGAGCTTTTAATGCTATAAAATATAAACAATTTCATCGACAAATCATGTCTCAAATCTCATTTAGACCTAGCTGTATTTAAATGGCAGCCATTTAAATTTTTCAGTGTCACCACCTCGACCCCGCGCATTAAAATTACAATATTCACCGATGTAGAAGTCCTACATTCTTAAAAGACGTCTCATTGGATAGATAAAGATACGCGTAATAAAATAAAAGCAAACTTTTAACTGCAAAATTGTATTTAGATCCTAAAAAAGACTTAGAAAAGAAAAAAAATGTAAAAAAATCGGTATTTTTTCACATTTTCAGTAAAAAGTACAAGTACAAAGTAAGTCATTTACTAGATTTTTTACATTAATCTGATAGATCAAAACATATCTACCAATTCTTATTGTTTATAGTTTAAGAATTGTACTTTATCAAACACGACCTCTTAAAAGCGCAAGCTGCACGTGCAGGATCATTTATGATAGTTCAAGAGCATGTAGAAAAACCCAAAGCCCATTGTTTGATGTTCTAAACAAGTGTACTTGGGACACAAAAACAGTCGTCCCTCGCCACGCGTTGTGATTACACTACTTTTGCCCCTCTAAGATCGCTTGTTGTTTGTTAAAAAAATTCCGTTTTGTGGAACTTTTTAAGTTTGTGGTGAAGTTTCTAGTTATTTTGATATTTTCAAAAATGGCAGATGGTAAATACTCAAACCAGCATGTCGCTGATATCCACTTTGTGTATGGATTGTGCAACGGCAACGCAAACAGAGCTGTCACAGAGTACGCCAGAATGTTTCCCAACAGGCCTACACCAAATGCTAGCACTTTTGTAAGGATACATTTGCGGATAGCTGAACTTGGGATCAGAAGACCCGCTAATGAAAGATTTCGGCTTGTGGCACCTGAGGAGGAAGAAGAGATATTACGTTTAATTACACAAGATCCCAGACTCGGTGTAAGACGAATAAGCAATATGCTTAATTTAACAAAATGGTCAGTGTGGAGAGTTTTAAAGAGGGAAGGTTTGCATCCTTACCATTTTCGAGTTTTTGCAAACACAGTTTTTGGAAGAATTAATGGAGCTTCCATTAACTCAGAGAGCAAGGATGCTTCTCCAACTTTACGGTGCACCTGCAATTTTGCAGTAAATGTGCGAAATTATTTAAATGAGCGCTATTCGCCGTGGATTGGTCGCGGTGGAAGGATCGATTGGCCTCCGCGTTCACCGGATTTAACTCCCTTAGACTTTTTTCTATGGGGCACTATGAAGCAAAGAGTTATATATAGAGCTATGCGAACGTGCCAAACTCACGAGAAAAGTTGATTAATAAAATAATCGAAGTTGGAAATGAATTGCGACAAGATCGGGAGATGATCAGACGTGCAACTCAACATGTGGCAATAAGGGCTACACATGTCTCCAACATTGCGGAGGTCATTTCGAACAGTTTTTATAAATAACTTTTTAGTTACGTGCATTTTGAAATATTGTGTTTCACTCTTCTCATCAATTCACTTTGTCTGTCTGCAACCAGGGCGACAAATTTTTCAAAGGTCATATTCAAACAGTTATAATACTGTTTTTTTTTTTTGGTTATAATTAAAATTTTTATGTTTTTGGTTAGGATATGATCTGATCTATCTGATTAATGTAAAAAATCATTAGGTAAATTACTTACTTTTTTCATTTTTTAAAGTCGAAAATGTGAAAAAATAACCGATTTTTTTTTACATTTTTTTTCTTTTCTAAGTCTTTTTTAGGATCTAAATACAATTTTGCAGTTAAAAGTTTGCTTTTATTTCATTACGCGTATCTTTATCTATCCAATGAGATATCTTTTAAGAATGTAGGACTTCTACATCGGTGAATATTGTAATTTTAATGCGCGGGGTCGAGGTGGTGACACTAAAAATTTAAATGGCTGCCATTTAATTACAGCTAGGTCTAAATGAGATTTGAGACATGATTTGTCGATGAAATTGATTATATTTTATAGCATTAAAAGCTCCGACACCGGTAACCGGACACACTGTATATATATATATATATATATATATATATATACACATATACAGATAGAGCTAAAGAAGTTTTACTTCAGTCGTGTAGTCATAAGCACACTCGTGTTTTTAGGCAAATACGAAATAAAGTTATGTACTCAACTGAAATAACTCTACTAACTTCAGACCAAAGTGTGCACATAAATAATGACAGCGTTTCCTTAGTCACACTCAAACGAAATCAGTGTTAAATTGTCGAAAACAACGTTCGCGGTTTACAAAACAAATAACTAATCTACTCGGCGGCTCGCAGTCAACTAAAAGAGCTGCGGAGAATTGACTGTTACTTAGACTCAATTTACATTGCGGCGGAACGGAAGTGTCAATATCACTTCGGTGCTCGAGCATCCCCATGACTGTGTCTTGAAGCTATAGAAGTTATTGAGGCTAGATCTTTTATTTAACAAAAATGTTTGATTGGATATTATTTTCTAATTGCTTATTTGTGAGGCAGAAGAAGAATAAAATGATGAGAAAAGGAAGTATAACAGAAAAAGAATTAGGGTTTATGATTTATGGAAGAAACGAAAACGTCACCCTCTGCGCCACTTTCCGCGAATTCCACAGATGGTTCAAAAAAAAAAGATATGGGAATCTTAGAGAATGCGCGGGAATTCCGCGGAAGACGCGCGACTTCTTTTTTGATTCATATCTAGTTTGCACGTTACACAATTAACTTAAAACTTATTTTACTATGTTCGATTACGTTTCCAAAAAATTCACCTCCATTCCGCTCCGTAAATCGCTCTCTAAATTGAGCTTATGCGCTATGTATTAAGTATGTAGTAACTGTGTATGTAATGTGCGCAGAGCTCGTTTAGCATTATTCAAAGAAGTCTGAGGGTGACTCATACAAAAACACATGCATCGTCATCACAGAGTATTCTAACACAGAGACACCAGAGGGATGAATTGGGGTGATGATAAATAGAAAATTACCTGGAAAACACTCGGCTTCCCATTCATCCCGGCTGCGTCCAAGTTCACCACACTGGTGATCCCTTGGGACCATGGGTGTTGCAGGAATCCGTGGCTTCCCTGTATTGAAACAAAAATACAAATTGATAAACAAAACTAGAGCTTTGTTCGCTTAGAGGCTAAGCGCTTACTGTAAATTCTGCAGTATGTGAGTAAATGGGGTTCGATCCCCGCTGGCACCAATGAAACGGTTAGTTTTGCAAAGGACTCCCAAACTATTTTTGTTGACAATTTTTTCTTGCGTCTATAAATGAAAAATATGTAAAAATACAAAGTTTGAAATCCTGAACAATATTTTCTTATCATACTATTACAGCAAGTCAGGAATTAAAGATATTAAAGTTTGAATAAAATTTACATCAGACTGTATGCCAAAAGACCTTTTGCTGCCCTAATTAGCAAATCGTTATAGCAACAACCACTTATCAATATAATTTTTAATTATGCTTATATAGAGTCATTACTAGAATAGACGGATCCTCAAATAACGCATGATTAAAACTACTTTTACGGATTTTATCGCGTTTATTTTTACTTTTTATTTTTAATTCCCGACGTTTCGGGCGCTTTCCAGCACCCATGGTCACGGGGGACTGAGATGACTGACGTCCCGATGTCATTGTTAAACCCGGAGTACCTTCAGCTTTTTTTAATTATTGTTTATGGTCCGATCTATGCAAAATGAACTGACTATGGCCTGAGGTCTTGCAGTGGTATGCTTGGGTTTAGTTTTAATTTTATTGATTATAGGATCCCAAGCAGGTGGTAGTACCCAGCCTCCTTCTCTATTGAAATTAGGATGTTTTTTAATTTCAATAGCCTCACGTATCATCCTTGGTAGGAATCGGTGTTCTTTCGCGAGGATTTGTGGTCTATCAAATCTGATGTAATGGTTGGGGCCGTCTAGGATATGATCACAAATGGGGAAGTCTGCAGTTTGTGATCATATCCTAGACGGCCCCAACCATTACATCAGATTTGATAGACCACAAATCCTCGCGAAAGAACACCGATTCCTACCAAGGATGATACGTGAGGCTATTGAAATTAAAAAAACATCCTAATTTCAATAGAGAAGGAGGCTGGGTACTACCACCTGCTTGGGATCCTATAATCAATAAAATTAAAACTAAACCCAAGCATACCACTGCAAGACCTCAGGCCATAGTCAGTTCATTTTGCATAGATCGGACCATAAACAATAATTAAAAAAAGCTGAAGGTACTCCGGGTTTAACAATGACATCGGGACGTCAGTCATCTCAGTCCCCCGTGACCATGGGTGCTGGAAAGCGCCCGAAACGTCGGGAATTAAAAATAAAAAGTAAAAATAAACGCGATAAAATCCGTAAAAGTAGTTTTAATCATGTGCAATGTTCGCGTAAATATAAGAAATCATTACCTCAAATAACGCATTAGTATTTTGAGAAAACTTTTATAAATAAAATACACATCAGACTAGGCTCTATAGTATAAGATTTTTGCCCGCCATAATGGGTAAGTCGAAACAATTACAACTAGTCGATTTAGTTTTTAATTATATATGATTTTTTCCCAGACTTCGATGGGTCACTTGATTTGATAATACATAGTAAATTATTTTATTGATACCTGTAATGGTGACATAAGTCGACATGTAATAATTACTACTTTTTCGCTATTGTCCTTTACATCATTCATTGATCAATCACAGCTCTTCAAAAGTTCATTGCTTAACATAGTCCTGCCACATCTTAAGTTAGAGTACACATCTTAAGTTGAGGACTTTTTTAAATTTAAGTCTGTATCAAATTTTGTTTTATTTTTTATTTATCGTTAACATCTATGTATATCTGTGGTATTTGTTTTATGACTTTTTATACTTAAATTTATCATGAAGTTGCAATTAACCATTGATATATTCATAGAATATTTATATAGCGCTAGACCTACAATTATAAAATTTAATATTTACATGCCACTGGCGAAATATGAGTGTATCATACCAAATTATTATTTGTGTAACTACCATATTTCTTGCTTCTGCTTAAATAAATTACTATGGGGTATCTATATAGTTTTCTCATTTGGTTGGGTTGTATAAATATATAATTGTAAAAGAAAATGAAAAATATAATTAAATATCAAAAAATAAAATAAATACATAAATAAATAAAAGCCCAACCAGATGGAATCCCTCGGCAGGAGAGACCAAACAGCCGAGGGTTAGGGGGAAAGGGAAAGAAATTGGCGTGGAGCTTCGCCGCGTGCGTGTGAGCCCGGAGCGGGACCGCACCGAGTCCCAGTCGCCTCAGATGACCTGAGAGGCTGGCCGAGATTAGCCCGTTCGCTTAAACGACTACAAATAAATTATTATTATTATTGTAAAGGTAACTCAGATAGTTAACGCTGTAAAAATAACTGATTTACCACGTGCTCAGCGGTGAAGGAAAACATCGCGAGGAAACCTGCATGTCTGAGGAATAAGGAAAAAAATATTTCGAAGACATATGAAGTTCGCCAACACGCATTGGGGCAGCGCGGCGGACATTTCCTTGCCCTAACACCCTCTTAGAAATGAGGAGAGGCCTGTGCCCAGCAGTGGGACGTATATAGGCTGTAACTTAAACTTTTATTGTACAGGTAACTTTTTAACTCTCCGTATCATACTACCGGAATAAAGATGCTCACGGGCTTAACCCAAGTTGACACTTATTAGTCTATATTTACATATTTATTGTTATATCATTTGCTCAAACTGCAAAAACTTTCTGACAATTCGGCATATGTGTAGGATTGCTTCTGTAAACTAACAAAAACTTGTTCTGGTAGATCGAGTATTATTACTCCTATTGGCAACCGCAGTTATTACTATTATTATTATTATTATTGAGTCATAATCTCCAGCTATAACTTAAACTAGCAAAATGTAAGTAAAAACTTTTGTATGAATAGGTCAACTCGACCATGAAAGGACGACGCTTTCACAAAATAGCAGCGTAAGATAGCACCTTAATACTGCTGTGTTACGTATGTTAAAAGTAGAGATCCCGAAATCCTTTTCTACTAGAAACGAGGCTTCCTATCTTAGTCCTCAGGGGTGACAACACATTTGCGCTTTGATTCTTTATAGAAAATAAATGTAGAGCCGTGGTAGCTCAGTGGTTAACGCTCGCTGTAAATATAACAGAACGCGAGTAACCCGGGTTCGATCCCCGCCGGCACCAATGAAATTGTTAATTGCAATTTTAAGTGCTGATTTACCACGTGCTCGGCGGTGAAGGAAAACATCGTGAGGAAACCTGCATGTCTGAGGAATAAGGAAAAAAATTATTTCGAAGACATGTGAAGTTCGTCAACACGCATTTGGGCAGCGCGGCGGACACTTCCTTGCCCTAAACCCTCTCAGAAATGGGGGGAGGCCTGAGCCCAGCAGTGGGACGTATATAGGCTGTAAGCAATGTAAGCAGCAAATGTAAATATAGCATTCACTTACCATCAGGTGGGCTGTGTGCCCGTTTGTCACCCTTATTCTATAAAAAAACTGGCATAGTCCATTTTTAGTGGCTGTACTGCTATGTTTCGATCTGAAATATATAGAGCGCCCATATAATTACGCGCCGAGGCAATCTGTTAGTCCTCAGAAGTGACAATGCATCCGTAATCTTCTTTCTTTATAGAATATTGAGAAACGAGCGCACAATCCACCTGATGATAACTGAAAGCTGTGGCCCATAGACATCTACTTGATCTGTTCATCGTTTGAAGTAGGTTTTTTTTATAGAATATAAGTGACAAACGACCACACAGTCCACCTGATAGTAAGTGGATGCTGTGGTCCACAGACATCTACATTTATTCTCGATTAAGGTGAAACCTACGGACTGTTCCCAGCCATTCTCCTGCAAGATGGCGCTGAAGTCAACATTTTTAGTTTATTTGGATTTTTGTGTAATTGGAAAATTATTAAGTCGTAGGAGTAGCCTTAGCGGTTATCGGATATTACATTTTATTGGAATGGGTCATATCATTGCCTCAACATCCACCCAATTCGACATTAATTTTGATTATAACATCTGTCATTGAATATAGTGTCGTGTACACACTCTGACGTATCTCTACGTTTACGAAGCTAGAACACTAGATGGCGTGTACGCAAAAAAACAAGTTTTTAATTTTTGTGTATGTGTAGATTGGGTAGGCAGAACTACAAAACGTTATGGACGATTTATAACTTTGGGAAATAAATTATGTCAACATTGATTACAATATAATGCAGTTTTATTTTATTACATTACACTATTGAATTTTTTATCAAAACAGAAGTACCTATTAATATAAATATATATCCTATACCTACGAGCAATTCTTATATATATATATATATATATATATATATATATATATATATATATATATATATATATATATAACCGGAATCTCGGAAACGGCTCCAACGATTTTCATAAAATGTCGTTTTGTCCCCGTTTTCGGGCAATTAAAAACTGCTACAATATAAGAAGGTAAATTTTAACAACATAATAAAGATCGTAATGGCTCAAGTGGATAACGCACTGTCACGAAATCGTAGTTCCCTGGTTCGCGTCTTGTCTTAGGATTGACTTTATTCCCTTTTTTTTTTCAAGTTCCCTTGTTTTGTGAGAAAATCTATTATTTCGAGCCCTTTTTGTAGTATTTTTTTAAAAATACGAAAATTTTATTGCACTCATGATTTTTCATTTTAATAACCAGTTCAGTTTTTTTCTATTATGTCGGTAAGATCAAAAATATTCTTCATATTTTATCAAATTAAATCAAATCATTTGATTTGATTTGAAAATATTTTATCAGTATGTATTTTTAATCTAAATATAACTTCCAAAACACACGATTTCCAAAAAAAAAAATACCGAGATATGCTCGGTCATCCAGGTACTATACAATATAATACAAATACAAATCTTCTTTCAATTCTATATGAATAGGGTTGCGTTCGGAACACAAGATCTAGAACACTAAAATGTACAAAAATTTACTTATCTTTTTATTTCAATGTTATCTTTATATTCCTGTTAGAATTGGCCGACAAATAAGAAAAATATAACTCAGATTAGAAAAAGCTATTTATTTATAAACAATAAAGCACGGAACAGAAAAAAGGATTTTATGTAACTGAATTATATTTGTTTCCGAACACACTATAAGGTATGACGTAGTGACGAGTGAACTTGAGCTCTACAAAATACAACAAACTAAAAAACGGCCAAGAGCGTGTCGGGCCAAGTTCAGTGTAGGGTTCCGTAGTTTCCCGTCCGTCACAATAAGTGTTCCCACTTATGAGATTAAAGGTGGGTATCCATTATGTTCGCGCTCCAGCAGCGCTCCGCGGTCCTGCAACTGCTCCCGGTAGTGGGTACTGTTGTTTCCATCCAAGTTCAAAATGATTTTCCTAGAAAGTCCTTATAAAGTTCTACTTTTCAGATTTTTTTCATATTTTCTAAACTTATGGTTCAAAAGTTAGAGGGGGGGGACACACATTGTTTTTTACTTTTGGAGCGATTATTTCCGAAATTATTGACATTATCAAAAATGATTTTAGTAAACCCCTATTCATTTTTAAATACCTTTCCGACAATATATCACACGTTAGGGTTGAAATTAAAACGAAATCACTCCCCACTTTACATATAGGGGGGCCCTAATAAAACATCTTTTTCCAATTTTTATTTTACCACTTTGTCGGCGTGATTAATACACATATTGGTACCAAAGAATCATGCCCACTTTACATACATTGATTGACCTGTCACTTGACTCCTTTAACAGGTCGCGTCTACCTACAACTACTGTTGTATAAAAACAGTTATTGTTTTTATACAACACCTAACACTAACTACTATATAACCTAATAACTTATCATCTTTTCATTTAGAGGCCGGGGAAAATGCTATTAAGTAAATAAAATTTCGAGGTTATAACAGCTGTGAGATAAGGTCTGTACACTTATTTTTCTTTCCACATCATAGTATAAAACTATTAAATATCGTATCTAATCATAAATTAATATCATAAATTAATAAGTTATAAAAAAATAAATCAGTTATTTTGAACATTCATAAACCACATGATGATAAACAAGTTTTTCGTAGTCTGAAACGGAACGTGAAAAATACGTTTTTAATATATTTTGGCATGACTTCTGGGCCTTTGAGCCAAAGCACGTTCCATCTCCAAAAGTCTATTGAGAATGATAAACAAAATAACATTACTTTTTTTCCTGGCTTTATTTGAAAATTCAGTTATGCCATACGAAATAAGAAAAAAAAATGCAATTTTATAAGATATTTTGTATCACTAGACGCGATAGAAAATTTTCAGGTCAATAATGGACATGATTCTTTCAGCTTTCTAGTGCTAACGGTCACAGAGATTAAGCGAGGACGGACAGACGGACAGACAGACATGGCGAAACTATAAGGGTTCCTAGTTGACTACGGAACCCTAATAATGTGTGTCTGTCTGAAACTGTTTGCAAAATGCGTAAAGGATGTTTAATGTAAACCGGCAAAACCATATTACTTTGGTAGTTTACCGATTTACCAGGCGGTCCCTGTTTATCGTGCACTTAATATAAGAAACATGCATCGACATGAAATGCTTAGTCTTAGTTTAAGAGGCATTTGAATAACGAGAGTCGCGTATTTTTTCAAAATGTCGAAAACTGAGTATCGAAGTGTCATAAAGTTTCTGTTTAAAGAAGGTTTATCCCCTGCCCAAATAAAAGAACGATTGGATGGCGTGTATAAGGAGTCTGCCCCCTCCTATAGCACAGTGAAAAATTGGGTGTAAGAGTTCGCCTCGGGAGAGAAACCGTCGAAGACTTTGACTACGACGGTCGACCTGTGGAAGTGATCACTCCCGAAACGATTGCTCTTATCGAAGAGGAGGTTCTGAGTGACCGCCGTTTGAAGATTAGAAAAATTGCAGCAAGGCTTGGGCTCTCTAAGAGTACCGTTCATCGCGCGATCCATGAACATCTTCACATGACAAAAGTGAGTGCAAGATGGGTACCGACACTTCTTTCAGCGGTACAGAGACAGGAAAGAGTGTGCTGCGCTTCGGAGTTTTTGGATCTTTGTGGCGAAAATCCAAAGACTGTGATCGAGCGGCTAGTGACTGGCGATGAAACTATGATCTTGTATTATGATCCACAAAGCAAGCGCGAGTCAATGGAATGGCGTTATAAGGGTGAAAAGCCCCCTAGAAAGGCAAAGGTGCAACAATCGACTAAAAAACTGATGTGCACAATATTTTGGGATTTTCAAGGCATTTTGATGGTGGATTTTAAAGAACGTAATACAGTCGTGAACGGCGAATATTATGCTTCTTTAATATATAAATTACGAGACAAGATAAAGGAAAAACGAAGAGGCAAGCTGTCTCAAGGTGTCCTGTTGCTCCATGACAACGCCCTTGTTCATACCGCTGGTGTTTCGAAGGATGCAGTTCGTCAATGCGGGTTCACAGAAGTTCAACATCCACTTTACAGTCCAGACATAGCCCCGTCCGACTATTATTTATTTCCAAATTTAAAGCGGGACTTAAGAGGAAGAAAATTTTCAAGCGATGAAGAGTTGGAGGCGGCCGTCTTCAGTCATTTTGAGGATAAAAAATGTGATTATTTTTATGAAGGTTTAGAGATGTTGATTCACAGATGTCAGAAGTGTGTTAGTATTCATGGTGATTATATTGAAAAATAAAATTGGTTTCGTTTCATTTCCTTCATTGGTTCATAGTTAGGCCAATTCATTATGGGACCGCCTACGTATAATAATTGTATTTATTGTTGACCAATAACATATTCAAACACATTCATATATGAAACACTGACACTAATCAGTATTGTGACGATATTTCAGAAAAATCACGGGCCAGCCCGCTGTTAATAATACTACCGAAAACATAATTGCGTTTTTAGAATAATTAATTACTATACCTACGATAAATTACAATATAGTCTCAAATATATACTAGAGAAATATTGCAATTAGAATCAATGAAAATATACATACAAAATATGTATAATACACAAGAAATTCCGCGCGCAAATCATAGCGCGTGACATCCGAAATCAGAATATTATATTTTACAAGTCAAACAAGTGAACGTACGTAAGTTTGGCAACGCTTTTGTTTCGTCAATTCAAGGTCAGGAATACGTTAGTACCGTCACAGAATAAATAATAGTTGGTACCGTAGACTTCTCTGTCTACGGTTAGTACTCTTATCAGTTTGTTGTCAGGAAGGACGGCAACGTCGCTTTACCTACGACTTTTGGTATTTATGTTGCCACACAACAATAATAAGTAATAAAATTGTTTACAAAAAAACATAGGTGTCTAAGGTCATTAGTTTTATGTTATTTTATACTGTTTTTTTAACGGTTGGAAAGGAAATTAACCAATTATTGAACTATCTATATATATTATACTAAAGGTATTTTATATATTATACTAAAGGTAATTTATCAGAATTATTTAAGATCACTTGGATGCCATCTAGCGTGCCAATGTTTAAACGTCGCCTTTCGTTTGCTTGTCAAAAGTCACGCACACTACTAAAGAAGTGTCAAATTTTTCCGGGATTTCACTATTGTTTTTCTCAGTATATAATGTAAGTTATTGCCTATAAAGGTCAGACGCGTACACATTTAATTGTAGAGAAGTGATAAAATGATTAGTTTTAAAGAAAGAGTGTCTGTGTTTAGTGTATATTTTGGTTAAAAAATGTATGGGGGGACGGTCGACGCATCCACCTTAAGAATCAAAAAGCAGATGCATTGTCACCCCTATGAACTAAAATAGAATGCCTCGTTTCTAGTAAAAAAGGTTTTCGGTTCTCTATACTCAACATACAAAACAGTAGTATTTAGCTATTTTCCGCTGGTATTCTGTGAGAGCATGGACCTTGCCCGGTCAATTTGACCCATTCGTGCTACAACCATAATATAGCTGCAGCGTGGCTTCTACAGTTTATAGGCTGTACTAGCCACTTACCAATTTCTATATATAAAAACAATTACTGTCCGTTACTTTTGCTTATAACTCAAAAACGTCTCGACCGGCCATAATGAGATTTTAAGTGTGTATTGGAATGGGTCCTCAGATGGTTTAGGTTCACGTTATCACCCGTTAGGTGGCGCTATTGTCGATATTCAGAAATCCGAGCCGGCTTGTTAATTTTCTATACAATTTAATCTGTGTGTACTGGCGGTGTAAGAATATCCACTTCCCCATATCATCCCGTGGGTGTCGTAAGAGGCGACAGAGGGAGACAGGCAGGAGATGGGCAGCAGCGTCTTCCAAGTAACGGCTAAAATTAAAAAAACTGCTGTCACCTACCGGCTTGCAAAGCGTGGCAACCATGGCAAATATGCCTCTATGAGGCAATCTATCAGTGAACTTTAATAGAATGTAAAGGTAACTGTAAGAAACTAATTATTTTTAATTTCTCACCTGCAAAGGGTTCTCCTCGGCTCCGTTGAACAGGAATACGATGTTATGCGTCAGCTTGCGCTCCCTCCTCGACAGTTTGCTCAGAGTTTCCACCATTACAGCACAGAACACGCCATTGTCTGAAGCACCTGGGGGTTGTGGTAAGTTTAATAGAATCAGCCGTCACTTTGAGAAAAACCATTATATAACCACCATAAAATACTAGCAGTCCCGTGACTGCGCTCGAACGGAGTTTATTACAATTGGATTTCATGGGTTTTAGACTTTTTGCAGGGAACCCTAACTCATTTTCTAAAATAAAAGTAGCCTAACTTACTTCTTATAACATCAGCCATCAATCAGTGAAAGTCCCGTCAAAACTGGTCCAGCCGTTTTAAAGAATAGACGGAACAAGCAGGCAAATAAACTGACAAAAATTATAAAAATAGTATAGTATAGATTGGCTATGGAGTGATTAAAGCGAGACCAAAGTCAAAACTCCGGGTCTGTATGTTTGTCCTTGTGAAATTCATATATGTAAAAGCTGCCCCCACGATACAGGAGAAAATCCTAGTTTGGAGGGAACGTTTTCAAGTACGCAATTTTATTTTGGATTTGCTTAAAAAAAAGTAACTGTCGTGAATGAAAAGAAAAATGCGTGGCATATTTACCGTGCCAGCTACACGCGCGCGCGACCCATAGCTGTGACATAGTTTTTGTTCTGAATTGCCGGTCTAGTAGATATACATATAAAACTGGGCATTACAATAGAATTTACAATGATCTACGAGAAATTGGTCTTTACGTACTAAACAATAAGGGCCAATCTCGCCGTGAAGTAATTAACCTTTTCGGCATAAGAATAAACATAGTGTTAGTTATCGTACCTTTTCCTCCAAGTTTGTATCTTTTTACCTATGTTTTACAAATAAATTATTTGATTTGATTTGATTTGAAAAAAATTAGGGTATCGCACAAAAAAATTAAAACTCGTGGAAAACAAACGTAAAAACTTCGGCGCGGACGAAGTCGCGGCGAACAGCTAGTTGGGTAAAATTCTTACCAATAGCAAAAGGTACGGAGTCATAATGACAATTGACAAGCAGGGACGTCCCAATGGTGCCGTTTGCGTGGAAACCACTTTCTCCCTCCAAAACTGCGATTATGTTGGATAAGTTCTGGTAGCAGTTCACTTGCGGTGTTCTGGACGCCAACCAATAGTCACCTGGAATGTAAGAAACTTCATTACATCTTCTAGAACGAATCAACTCTCTTTCTAGAAGACAAAAGCATTTTGGTTAAATGAAAAGTAAGGGTTTCCTAAGTTTTAATATTTTTACCTTCCGAGAAAAAAATAATTTCGATTCGAAAGTAGTTCTAGTAAAAAAAAAAAATTGATATACACTCTGTAATCACTACGAACAAACACAAGTTAGTGATACCAACTTCTCGACTTCACAGAGTCAGTAATTCATTCTTGAGGCGATGTATACACTATTAGAACAAAGTCCTAGAAAATATACAAGGTCTGTCTATTACAAAGTTTTAAGATAAGAGCACACTAGACGGAACTGCAGCGCAAATGCGCGACACGACGCGTCATTTTTTGGTAAACCGCACTTGAACTGCAGCGGCGCTACAAAAATATATTCAGTAGCTAGCTAGGCAACCTTTGAGCAAGATGAACGACGAAATAGATATGATTATCATTTCTTTGTTGTGCGAAGAAGAAAGGTTAGAGCAAGAACAGGCAAGAATAACACAAAGAATATGGCTACATGACATATCAAACTCGCGATATGAATAAGGCGAGTATTATACGCTTTTGCCACGACTTAAGAAGGATCCAATAAGATTCCACATTTATTTTAGAATGTCTCAATACAAATTCAATGAGTTATTACAAATTATGCAGCCATATAATTATACGAAGTATGGACACACTATTCCGGAAAGCGATAGGACTGGAAGAAAAACTCATGGTGACAATAAGGTAAGAAAATATTTTTTATTTATTAAAATAGGCATACCTATGTGGAGTGACTTTTGACTTTGATACCAAAGGGTATTCTTATGCAAGTGCTTGTGAACAAACAACGTTCTCTGTGTAATTTTAGTATGAAGTTTAATAAAAAATGTTTGTCTTCAGCTAGTAATTGAATCAGTCAGCAAATTGGCTTTGTATCTTCTTGCATCATAACATTTAGTAGACGGCCATCTGCAGTTAATATATATTTCGTAGGTGGCAAAATACTTTGAGATTCTGAGTCTGTATGTACTTCCGGAACGTGAATAGTCTGAGTCCGTACTGCTGGTGTATTTTGGGGTTCATTAACACCAGATGTAAATGCAGTTGGTTACTCAAATTGTTCGCCAAGGTAAGAGCCTGTAGAATCATCAAGCTGAGGTTGAATATTCTGAGTTTGTCCTGCTGTTGATTTTCTTTGTAAGTTCTCATATTCTAAGTTAGATACTGTTAAATAAATTAAATTTTTTGCTTTCAACTGCAAGTCTGTAGGCAAATTCACGACGGAGTCAGCCGCAGCTTTGAAAAAGGAATATATAGGGTTCTCAATATCCTGAATAGTAGTTGTAGATGACCGTGACTCCATATATTTCTGTAGAACACTGGCTACAGATGGCTCACATGTTTGATTTTTTTCTTGCTGATATTTTTTGAACATCGTTGATGTTGATGATGAAGGTGAAGGTGAGTTTGCTGGCTCGGGGCTGATCGGGACCATTTCGTGAGGAGAATTTTCATTAGAGACATTATCATCACTTGTAATTGATCCGGTGTCCCCAAAGTTACCCTTTGTTTGAAAGAAAGAAAGAAAGAAGAAAGAAAGAAAAGTTTATTTGGTATACATTTATATAAAATAAAATTTTTTTATATTTTTTTTTCTTTCATAAAGGTATTGTTTTAAAAACTCCATCTGATTCTCGCACTTCCATTGCTTATTTTTTTAAGCACCCTCTCCACTCTTGCACTTGCGGTTTTTTAAGCATCTGTGATAACCGTCTAAAGATTTAGATTTCAATTTGTCTTTGCAGATTTGCTGAAAATAAAAATAAAAATAAATTTTTACTGTTTATTGTTTCAGGTTCCTAGCTACTGGCGATTCATTCAAGACAATAGCACAATCTTTTCGTTTGGGATATACAACCACACCTCAGATGAAGTAAAAAAGGTAGATACAGTGCGGCCTTTGTTATTGGTGAAGCCAAAAAACTCCGCTCCTATTTTTCCTGTGCTTACAGCACACGCATTCACGCACACACGTGCATCAAACTACGCTCATTTTCGCTCAGTATTTCCCGGGGCGTCGTGCAGTAAATTTGCCTACAAAATGCCGTCCTGTGTAGTTAAATGTTACAAAAACAATACTAAAGTGAACAAAAAGTCTGAAGATAAAGTCGTTTCACTCGTAAACACTCATTTAACTATATTTTAATTTGTTATTCCAACACAGTTTTGAAGGATATTCGAAGCACGAATGCAAAGAATATAGTACTCTTTAGCCGAGAGCACGAATGTCAATGTTTCGAGATTACGTAACGGGAGAATGTTGCCAGTATTTCTTATTTCTAATGATCCAAGATTTGGGTAATTAATTTTAGGCTAAGTTATAAAAATATATGTAGTCAGCACATTTTGTTAAATCAGGTGTTATTATATTACATCAAAATGAAATCAAGATAAATATTTAATTGTTTAAGTCGCTGATATTTCTGTTTTAATTGTTGAGTACCTGCTGCAAGTACCTTGTAAACTGCTAGGGGCAAGCGGAGCAATAAGACCAAGGCGAACCCTGTCACGCTATCCGTGAATTTTTGCAACATCGGGACACTTCATTCCAATTTTATTGCTGTCCACTACCCCCCGAGTCGGCGAAGCCAGCCTTACTCTTTTTAACCGAGACTCAGGTGTTCTCTCCGGCCGATACATCATATCTTTCCTACCTCCTACGTGCTTCATCTTTTTTGAATTGTCAAATAGTTGAAATTTATTAAAACAGACAGATATACTTTTGCATTCGCATCGCGTATTACTCTTATAGTTGTGTAGTATTATATTGTATCTCAATTTTCAGGGACTTTAAAAAAAAGTGGTAACACTCCTCTGACTCACACAAAGTTATAAAATTGGTTACAGTTTCTTGTTCTAGGTGCGATATCTACCTTTTTTATTTCATCTGAGAACCATACAAGAAATCGTACATACTACATGTCCAGCATTATGGAAAGTTTTATCTAAAATGGTAATCCCTATACCAAAGAGGAATGGCAGAATATTGAAAAAGATTTTTCTGAGAAATGGAACTATCCCAACTGCATTGGTGCATTAGATGGCACGCATATATAAATTTTCTCGCCACCAAATAGTGGCTCCCTTTATTTTAATTACAAAAAAAAATTTTCTATAGTGCTGCTTGCTTTAGTGGATGCGAATTATAAATTTATATATGTAAATGTCGGTGATCTTGGAAAGAACAGCGACGCAGGGGTTTATTCACGATCAAATTTAGAAGCAAGATTGGAAGTAAATACATTAAATATACCAGAGCCAAAAGCATTACCAGGGACTCGCCAGCGTCACGTAATAGTTGGTGACGAAGCTTTCCCTTTAAAAACGTACTTGATGAGACCTTATCCCGCTGCAAAATTAGATGACCACAACGCAGAATATACAATAAGAAGCATAGTAGAGCCTGAAGAGTATCAGAAAACGCATTTGGCATATTGTGCCAGAAATTCCGAATCTACTATCGCAACACCTGCCTCAGTTCGGATCACGTAGATAATGTAGTTCTTGCTACCTATGTCCTGCACAATTTGCCTAGATATGATACAGTATCATTTCGTAATGAAGACACTGACACGCAGGAATGCCAATTACGAGATCTACCTCGTATAGGAGGTAATTTTGTAAACAACACTATCCAAGTACGAAATACTTTCAAAGGTAACTTCAATTCCTCTCAAGGTAGTTTAGCCTGGCTAAGAGCATAAACAGGGGCTGACATCAGGAGCCGGTTTCACAAAACTACCATTTACAAATTACAAATATAATTAGAAGTTTATTACGTGGCTAATTCGGCATTTTTAAAACCGATTTTTTAAATGACAAATACGCTACGCAATATACACATCGAATTGCACTTGTAATTTGTAAATTGTAGTTTTGTGAAACAGGCCCCAGAGCGACATACGGAAATAGTACCTCAATACCTTTAAATTATGAACCTACCTCAATAAAACATTTTACACTTTATAAAATGCTTTTATTAAATTAGGTACTTATTTTTCATTCTGTACTTTATAGAATGGAAAATAATTACTTGTTTTATTCTTGCTACGTACACTTTCATGACAAATAATAAATAATAGTCTTTTTATAATCCCAAGCTAAACAACTACATGAAACCAATTATTATTGGAGAGGCCGACATCCATTCACAGCAAAAAAATACACAATTACTTACCATTTATTCTCATTTCTTGGGCTATTTGACTCCAAAGTCGGTTTTTTCTGGAAGTGTTCATATAATTATCATTCTGGACGTCATATATCTCTGGATATTGGCTCACGAGTACAATTAATTTTTCTTCATCAATCGACATTTTTAACAAACGATTACGCGCTTCCGAGTATCTTGTTTGACTGACTATAAAAATGAAGTTTGTCAAACCGCACTAAGCGTCATCGGAACTACACGTCGCGACAGTTCGCGACACCTTTGGTCAGTTGATCAACTTTGTCGCGTAGTTCTGATGCAGTGTGGTTCCGTTGCCGCTAAGTGCGTGTTGTCTCATATAATTACATATAAAGAATAGTTTGACGCGTCGTGTCGCGCAGTTGCGCTGCAGTGCAGTTCCGTCTAGTGCGGTCTTACCTTAAACATTTTATTAAACAAAAACTGTATAAAAAGGGTTATTATAATATAAATGAATACATGGTGGATAATAACTCCTGGGAATGAGGTGGTTGCTTCCAAGCTGTTTCTAAAATTAATTTTTACAACCTTTCATATTGCATAATTTACTTTAGAAAAAATGTCCCGCTGGATTTCTTACTGGTTCTTCAGGACAAAGGTTTTTTTTTCGAACCAGTGGTAAAAGTAAAAGTTACTTTTTTTATAGAATATGATGGCAAACGGGCACACAGTCTATGTGATGGTAAGTGAATGCTCTGGCCCATAAATATCTACATTTATCCTCTATTAAGAATCAAAATGCAGAAGCTTTGTCACCCGTGAGGTCTAAGATGGGATGCCTCGCTTCCAGTAAAAAGGTTCCGTTCTCTACACTCGCCATACGAAACACAGCAGTATTAAGCTGCTATTTTACATTGGTATTCTGTGAGAGCATGGTCGTACCCCAGTCTAGCCGACCCATTTGCGCTACAACTATAATATAGTTGCAACGTGGCTCTACCACATAAAAACTACTAAAAAGAATGTGTGTGTGAGTTTGTGACATTTACTTTGGTCTATGATGATGATATTTTAAGTAACTATCTCTCCAGTCAGGGCGATAAGACTGAGGTCACTATTAAACTTAAATTCTCTACACCTTTCCCGCGCATCAAATCCAGCAAAGAAATCTCTCACCTGATACAAATTGCCAGTCTGTCCTGACCGGCAAGTTAGCTTGCGCAGCTATAGAGTCAATTAACGCCTTCAAGTCCTTGGTCTTTTCATAATGATATGCTGTTCCTGCTACCCTGGGTTCAGTTCCGAGTATCTGATCAAGGTAATGCCTTGCTGATTCTTCGCTGAAGGTTTCAGCATCCTAGGAATGAACATGTAAAATATTATAGTAATTCTTTAGATTTAGTAAACATATTTTTAAACCTCGATGCAAACAGAGGAGTGTTATATGTTTAAAGGTGGGTCTGCGCTAGAGGAGCCGAGCAAGAGCTGAGCACAAGCTGAGCCGCTCTACTCGCGGTGTCAAGTGTAGTCGCACAAAGAGCCTGAAACAATCACTCTCCTCGAACGTAGAGCGTTTAACGTTTTCCACAGTGTGCTCGCGGCTCGTGGTGGATATGAACGAGTCTTGGGATATACGAGACCATGCATCAATCTTCTTATTTTTTAATAGTAATCCTCATGCTTATTCCCATATCGTTGGATTATTTTGATATATTTCAATAAATTGGAAACAATCAGCTTCTGTTCATGTTTCCGTGATGCTCGAGCGAATCATCACTCAACACGTCCAATAGCCAGTGTTGCAATTTCAGCGCATTTGGCGCTAGATTTTGTATAATCCTATAGTCTATAGCGCTTTTTTTTAAATATCTACGTGCTAAAATTATCTAGTAGACTAGAAACGGCAACACTGCCACGAGCGCACTGCGACACTGCGAGCGCGATGCTTATCCCTTTGTGTTAGTCAAAAAACCGACAATAGGTGGAGCACAGTCGAGCACGCACCAAACGCTCGAAGCGTGCCCGTTTGAGGCTTGTAAGTCGGAACACACTACACGAATTTGTGCTCAGCTCATGCTCCTCACGTGCTCGGCTCCTCCAGCGTAGACCCACCTTTACGTGTATATCTGTGTGTCTATGTTTCTGTGTGTTGCATCGTAGCTTCCAAACGGATAAACTAATTTAGATTTGGTTTTTTTTTGTTTGAAAGGTGATTTGATCTAGTGTGTTCTTAGCTTTAACTTTAGGAAATCTTTTCAGCCGTTGAAGATCAGTCAGCTCTTTTTGTTTCAAGGTTTTTTTTCTAATTTTCAATTTCAGTTATCAGATAAATTGAAAATTTAAAACTTTATAACCATTTGAATTGAACACTTCTTTAGAATCATTGCGATTTGAATATCTACGAAACGGAAAAGCAACACTAAAAAGAGACAAACATATACATCTATAGGATTTATCGTGCGAGAGAATGAGATAAAATATTATATTAAATTTAGGCTATTTAGCGTCTATTTTACGTACCACCTTGAGGGTTAATTAAAGAGGGCTAGTAATCATTCGCTTGTTAGTTGACACTGAGGTAAAATTTTATTTTCCACAATGTCACTTACGTTGTTACGATGTTAGTTTTAAATAAAACTTTATCATTGAATAAAACAACTTTTACGGATTTCATCGCGTTTAATTTTAATTTTAATTATTTTTATTTTTAATTCCCGAGTTTTATTTAACACTCCATTAGTCGCGCGTTCTACTATTGTAGAACAGGCATGCATTTCGTGAAATTTTAACATTAATTGTGGGTGTCTAACGCATACACTCATAGTATTCCTCTATTACTAGCTGGTGATCACAATTAGTACCCTTTCGGAAAACTGCGCGATCGCACTTATTAGAAATTTCGCACCAAAACTAAAATTCTACAATAGTAGAGCGCGCGAGCACTCGCGTGATTATTTTTGTCGGAAGTTTACCTAACGTTTTTATTTTATGTAAGTGTTTATATTATGTATAAATATTGTTATTATGAATTTTTTTGTTTGATAATATTATTTTTAACCGAAGGAACTATATTTCGCACAATAATGGCATATATTTTGAAATGGTTGGAAGAAGTTATTACTGATGAAGCAACCAGCAAAGTATGGGATAAACATATTTTTACCAACGGATACAAAGGTACCTTATGCCTACCATATGGAAATATACGCAGGTGCTCAGCCAGATGGTCCTTATGCACTATCAAATAAAGTGGTGGACATTGTGCAACGAATGCTTACCCCATTGGATGGTTTAGGTTGTAACGTCACAATGCACAATTGATTCACGAATATACCTCAATGCTTAGAAATCTTAGATAGCAAAATTACTTTCGTAGGCACTGTGGAGAAAAATAAGCCACAAATTCCCAGACTTCAAAATCACAAGAAACGGAAGCGAAACGAGGTCAATTTTTGGCTTTCAAAAACAAGGTACTTTAGTATTTTACATGCCAAAATCAAAGAAAGTAGTGCTTATATACTCAACTATGCACTATGATGATTATATCGATTTACAAACAGTAGAGAAACGTAAGCCGGAAATAATAACTTTTTACAACAATACCAAATATGGCGTGGACATTGTAGACAAAATTTGTGGTATTTATGACATCTCTAAAAACTCTAGGCGATGGCCACTTACCATTTTTTTTAATTTAATGAATATAAGTGCTATACACAGTTATATTGTACATACTATAAACAAGGACTACAGAAATGAGGCCAGGAAGAATTTTTATATGAACTTGGTTTTCACCTAGTCGCGCCATGCGTACAACGCAGAATAAATATTGAAAGTATTCCAAAATCATTGAAAATGAAAGGGAAAATGCTTTTGGGCATGAAAGAGCCATCGGAATTACAACCATGCCCAGCACAACTCCCCAATACTGGTCAAGTCGGGAAATGTTCCTTTTGTGGCAGAGCGCGCAACAAGTCCACTAGAAAACAATGTGACACCTATAAAAAGTGGATTCGTCCTAAACATCAAGTTCTTCAATGCCTTGACTGTTGTAAAAATGATAAAGACTGTGTGGAAGATATGAGCGAGTAAAAAAAGGAGACTGAGAAGTTTTGATGCCAAAAAATCATTGATTTTTCTCAAAATTCACAAGAAGTCTGATATTAAGAGTCTAATAAATGGTAACAGTTATGTTTCATCTATTTTAGTTCCTTATTAAAGTTTGTTTTCATATGATATTGAAGTATTTTTATATTTGTTTATTGTTCCTGTAAAATCTTTACACGAAATAGTTCTACATATGTAGAGCGCGCGACCACTCGCGTCCCAAACAGGGGCGCGACTAATGGAGTGTTAATGTGTAGTGTTCGCGTAAATGTAAGGAACCATTATAAAAGTTTATCAGTTTCTAGAGTATTATATTAATACACAAAACAATGCCTCTGTGGTTTGATGGTCACTTTTTTCCTATTTTTATTTATTTTTCTATTTTTATGAATATCTGTGGTTTGATTTATTTATTTTTAATCTAAATAATATAAAATATATCTAAATAGTACAGAAAAAAACATTGAACTTTAGATTTTTCGAACAAAAAAAGTATATATATATATATATAACATACGTAAACACTCACGCCTGTCACCCAGAGGGGTGAACAGAGACTACAGACTTCCATTTAGCACGATTCTGACATACCTCTCTCGCCGACTCCACATCTATATACCTACGCATACATGCTCGTCGGTTAAGGGCATCCCATTTTCAATACATCGCCAATTTGGTCGATAAACTTTCGAATAGGACGTCCCTTTCCGACTCTTTCGTTCACTTCTGCAACATAAATTTGCTTTGTCACTCTTCCCTCATTCATTCTTTCCACTAAACCACCGAAGCATTTCTTTCTTAGTCCTTGTCACAGCATCATCTCACAAACCACACTCTTCTTTTATCACACAATTTCTCACCCTGTCACTCAGATGCAGCCCTAACATACTCCTTAGGAACCGCATTTCTACTGCATTTATTCTACTCTCGTGCTTCTTCTGCCGCACTCAACTTTCACTACCATAAGATTAAATAATAAAATTTACTTACGTTACGTTAAATTGATTATTAATTTATTTAAATAAGATTGAATATTGTATTAAATTAGTCGTGTTTAGGCCATCTAGCGTCTATTTTACGTACCACTTTGAGAATCAATCATGATGATGATGGCGCTATTACAAAGCAATTTTACGCAAAACAAAGTATTCTTTTGATTTATTACACTAAAATTTAGACTCTATCATATCTAAAATAAAGATTTTAATATTCATTTGCTATAAAATTAAACTTTTATCTTATATTTTATGCCGCAGTTTTGTTTGAAAATTGTCATATTATAAAATCGGTCTAGGTGCGACCCGAAAGGTCCACACGACTAACTTCCCAGTGGAAAGAATAAAAAAATATCGTATGTTTTAATATTTTATACAATTTTTCATTCAGCACAAAAAAAAACGGCGACCGATTTTGCTCAAAATGTAATGAGGTCTCAGGTTAAATGAAACTGGTCCCATGTTAATATAACTCTTTGTTCTCGAGATACACGAGGAGAAAATTGAATCCGAACATACATACATACGTACATACATACATATGCACACACGGACATCCTCTTAAAAATCATACTATTCGACTCTAAAAGACCTTGAAACGTGGAGATATGTTAAAATTTCTAATTTGCAAAATGGGACCAATTACAAAAACTTCCCACTGGGAAGTTAAAAAATAGTTTGCCGTGAAATATTTTTATTTTATATTTCATTTTATTTGAAGGTTTCACTTTTACACATGTTTTCTATACCGTGTTTCAGCAGTGGACCAGTGATGATCAGAACTGTGAGTTAGGAATGTTGAAACAATTCATCATAAAGCATACTCACGTCCTTTTGTATGTCCTCCTCATAGATGACCTTCGGCATGTCATCCTCGACCAGTTGCGTCAAGTAGCCGAGTGTAAGATAAGCGCCTAACAGCAACAATATCACTATACTGGGCACCTAGAAAGAAAAAAAAAACCTAAATTCTCTAATGTTTTTCTTTTGGAAAATATAATTTTAGATGGTACTTTCTTTAACCAATTAGACCGTTTGGACGGATTAAAGACACCTTGCATAATGGTACAGTTTCTGTAGATTTCGTATACTCCAGAGACTCCCCCCTTATGACCATGGGTGCTGTAAAGTACTCGAAACTTCGGGTATGTAAAATAAGTGAATATACGCGAGAAAATCCGTAAAAACGAGTTTTATTTAAATGTGCAGTGTTCGAATAAACAAAAGAGATCATTATTTATATTTTAATTACGTATGAATATTACGTACATGTTAGTAATGATGATGGGGTGCCTTCTTCAAAGAAAGGCCTTTATGGGATCCTCTATACGTGGGAATATCTTTATACGTGGTAGAGCCCCGCTGCACCTATATTATGTTTGTAGCACGAATGGATCGGCTCGACCGGGGAAGGACCACGCTCCCACAGAATACCAGCGTAAAATAGCAGCTTAATACAGCTGTGTTTTGTATGGTGAGTGTAGAGATCCGGGGAACATTTTTTTACTGGAAACGAGGCATTCCATCTTAGTCCTGACGGGGGTGACAACGCATCTGCATTTTGATTCTTAATCGAGAGTAAATTTAGGCGTCTATGCGCCAGAACATTCACTTACCATGAGGTGGACTGTGTGCTCGTTTGTCACCCATATTCTATTAAAAAAAATCTAAAGATCATGAACGTGCATTTTGTTAACCAAAGAACGGAGCCATGTAATGACGATTGCGAGAAATCTAAATACACAGGATCCAAAACCAATGTTTGGGAATCAGTATTACTCGTGCATGGAAACTGTAAAGATGTAACGTAACATCTAGGTGGCAGGACTTATAATATATCTAGAAGCCAATCTGGGTATGTACTACTCTTTCTTTTATGTTTGCCGCCAAGCTAGCAGCGCTGTGTTCTAGTTTGAGGGGTACGAGGGCGGTACCTAAAATTTCGGGAATCAAGGAAGTGACACAACATTACTATTTAAAAATATATTTATTGCTTTTCGAAGTATTCTCCGCGAAATTTGACACATTTTTCCACACGATGGAACCAATAATTGAAGCAACCATTCCATTCAGAAGTTGGGGTCTCCAAAATGACCGTTTTGTAGGCGTCCACAGCTTCTTCAGGTGACGAAAATCTCTTTAGGGAAAGTATAGAAATCATTAGGGCTTAGGTCGGGGCTGTATGGCGGATGGTCTAATAATTCTATGTTTTCTTGCTCTAAAAACTCTTTTGTCGTGATGGAGGATGATGCGGCGATTGCATGTTCTCTTTACGGAGTTCAAATGACCTGTGGCAAACAAATGATGGCATACCATTCTTCATTAACTGTTCTTTTTCGCTCAAGAGGAATAGTCGTAACATGGCCGGTTTGGAGATAAACGTAGCCACCATTTTTTTTGCAACACTACGTGAACAAACAATTTTTGTTGGCTTTAACTCATTTTCGAACACCCAAACTCGTGACTGGTTTTTTGTTTCGGGTTCGTACGCGTATATCCAGGATTCGTCACCTGATAAGATGTTGTATACAGCATTTGAGGATCCTGCGTGGAATCTTTCAAGAGTTCTGACGCACCAAGTAATGCGAGCCGCTTTTTGTTCGTCACAGAGCGAATGCGGTATATGGGAAAACTTTTTTACACCTAATTGTTCATGCAAGATTATTTGTATTTGACTCATGCCAATGTCTAAAGTTGCCTGAATTTCGCGGTATGTCACATGTCGATCTTCCTCAAACAGCTTACGCACAGCATCAACGTTTTCTTGGGTGACTGCAGTTTTTGGACGACCTTGACGGGGAACATCACTGAGCTTGACATGTCCACGTTGAAATTCAGCAAACCAGCGATAAGTTGTGGTTTTGGATGGGGCTTCATCACCAAATGCAGAAATCATCCGGTCAACACACTGTTTTTGTGTTAAACCACTTCGAAAGTCATAATAAATCATCGCTCTTGAATTTTCTCGAGTCAATTCCATTTTCTCAACGACTAAACAAGTTTGACAAAACCTTGTGACAAGACCGAGAATCTTTTTTTAAATAAATAAATGGTATTCGATTTTTAAAACCAAGGAGTTTTCAATTAAAAAGATTTTAATATGACAGGAACAGTGGAAATATTCCATTCCCGATACCTTTAGTGCAACCTAGGTATAAGAGTCAATGTATTATATAATGACGGCTCCGTGGCGCAGTGGCTTAGCTATGAGTTACGGCGCTGGGGACGCGGGTTCGAATCCCGCACGGAACAACCATTTGTATGGCCTAGAAGTATTTGTTCCGGGTCTGGATGTTTGTCCTTGTGCAATTTATGTTTGTAAACTGCCCTAACAATATAGGAGAAAATCCTACGTAACAAAAAAAAATGTAATTACAAGCTCGGACTGAGAAGTATTCCGTAAATCAGCTGTGTATGAGTTGCCGCTGTGAGTGTGAGTGTGTGTGTGTGTGTGTGTGTGTGTGTGTGTGTGTGTGTGTGTGCGTGCGTGCGTGCGTGCGTGTGTGCGTGTGTGTGTGTGGGTGTGTGTGTGTGTGTGCGTGTGCGTGTGTGTGTGTGTGTGTGTGTGTGTGTGTGTGTGCGTGTGCGCTATTTTTATTTTTATAGGGTAGAGTGACAAACGTGCACACAGTCCACGTGATGGTAAGCGGTTGCTGTATCTACATCAATGCTCGAATAAGAATCAAAATGCAGATGCATTGTCACCCCTGAGGGCTAAGACGTAATGCCTCATTTCCAGTAAAAATGGGTCTCCGGTTCTCTACACTCACTATACGAAACACGGCAGCTTTAAGCTGCTATTTTATGCAGGTATTATGTGAGAGCGTGGTTGTTTTCAGGACGAGCCGACAAATGTACTACAATAATAATACAGTCACAAAAATTAAGGGATATAAAAATATCTAAATTTTTGGGTGATTTTCAACAAGCTGTAACTCCGAGGCAAATGATTGTACAGCAAAAAAAAAAAAAAAGCAAATTGTAGTTCCAAGTGTCTTGTTTTCAGATCTGGCCATGAATTTTTTTTCCGTTTGGTTCTGAAGTGACCCTAAGGAAACTATCGCAAAAAATCACCCAGTTTTGCGCGTGTCGAAAAAAATTTTTCGCCATTCGCATAACTAAAATTATTTTGATAATTTGGATACTTTGGATAAACGAATGATAACGTCGGTAACTTTTCAACCCTGAAGTGTCCCGGAAAATCCCTGAGAAATTCAAAGCGCTGCGATTTTTTTTCTTAGTGCCCCGAAGATTTAAATTTATCGTTTTCGCAGAAAATTATTATTCTATGTCTAAAATATTTTTATTAATCTCGATATCTTTCTCCAATATCTTTATTTCTTCAATCAAAAAGATTTTTGAAAAAATCCTGCAATTTCCTACACGATCATTATTTCCAGAGTTATTGATTATCAAATTTAAAAAGAACTGCTTTGATTGACGATAACTCCGCGCAAATCATCGTAAAGGCGTTTTGATTACGTCAAATTAAAGGGCATTAAATTTTCTAAAAGAGCTTAATATATGTGTGAATTAATGAAAAAAAAATTGAAGTCCGTAGATCTTTTTTAAGACGAGCAAAATTTTGGAATTTTTTTTCGGTAGCTTCCTTAGAATCACTCCAGAACCAAACATGATAAAAAAATTCATGGCTAGATCTGAAAATGTGATCATTTTCTCGGAGTTACATATTGTTGAAAATAACCCAAAAATTTTGAATTTTGTTTATATGCCTTAATTTATAAGACTAGTGTGTAATACACAAATGTTTAAAAAAAATATTACTATTAAACAAATCCTTTAAAAAGTAACTCACAGGCTTCAACGGTTCGTTACAATCTGACCCTTTTCTCCTGATTCCCTGTATCATCTAGAAATAGATAGAAATACTTGTGACAAAACATTTTTTAAAGAATTCTAGTAAAGCTATTAAAATTACCAATGGAATAGATTAGAATAAAATAGTATTATTTTTTTCAATATATATTAAAAGAATACTTATTGATGATAGTGATTTAAGCTTTCACACTAGTTCGAGAAAAAAACACCTCTGTCCTCGGAAGAACCAGCAGGAAACTCAGCGGGACTTTTTTGAACATTAATGTACATCATAATAATACAATTAAGTATGAATACATTTAAAACCAGTATGGTAGCGATCTTACTATCAATCATGTACTCTTTAGTATAATTGATAGAATCAGGCGTTACTTTGCGGAAATCCATTATAATAAAAAATAAAAATATAAATTTCTTTGCAACTTTCCGCTAAACATATAAAATGATGTGTCTTACCTGGATTGAAGCGCACCTCCCGCCCTCCCTCAATTGCATACACTAACTCCGTCACCACTAGACCAAGCACCACTACTCTCAACACCACTATTCCAGGCAAGACACACCATCGACGATAATACGATACGTGTTTCGCCTCTACACGAGGCATCCTCAGGTAATATAGACTCTACGGCGGCTGACCGCTAAGTGAGCGGCGAGTCGAAACAGTTGCTATTTATACACGCTGACACAATCGCTCCCTACCAAAGTAGCGAGTGACCGCGTCGTGCGATAACAAACCTGCCAACAGTTATTATTATTGTTATGATTATTTTTAAATACTATTATTATTGTTGTTTTGAGTGACCGCGCCGTGCGATAACAAATCTGCTACTAATTATTATTATTGTTATGATTAATATTTTAAATACTATTATTATTATTGTTTTATTGATATTATTATCATTATTTATTATTATTAATCTTAAAATTATTATTAAAGATTGGCCTTAAAGATGTTTAACAAAGGTGAATTAGAAACATTTGTTTGTTCATTCAGCAGTGTATAATTACCATTATTACTTTTTAAAATTTCCAACTGCTCCAGCACACACAGTCGCAGCCCCTTATTACAGGTATGTAAGACTTCAAAGGAAAGGAAGGAGGTGCGCTTCAATCCAGGTAAGACACATCATTTTATATGTTTAGCGGAAAGTTGCAAAGAAATTTATATTTTTATTTTTTATTACTCTTTAGTAGTATAATAACCCTTACTAAGCAATTTTGCTTAATACATTTTTTAAGCTTTTTACGCAATTTTTTCTGGGACTTTGTTGTAAAAGCGTGAAGTACTCTCATTAACTAGTTAGGAGTGGTTCACCACCGTAGTATTTACGTGTTAGAGCCACGCTGCAGATATATTATGGTTGTAACACAAATGGGTCGGCTCGACCGGGAAGACCACTCTCACAGAATACCAGCCTAAAATAGAAGCTTAATACTGCTGTATTCAGTATGGTCAGTGTAGAGAACCGGAGACCCTTTTAACTGGAAACGAGGCATTCCATCTTAGTCCTCACGGGTGACAACGATTTTTAATCAAGTATGGATGTAAATGTCTATGGGTCACCGCATCTACTTACCATCACGTAGACTATGTGCTTGTTTGTCACCCTGTTTTACACCACTCTGCAGTTATATCAGTTCCGTACTCTGGTTCTGTACTCGGACAGCTATAATAGCCCTACCATATAAACAAGTCAGCACTTCGATATCCAGACAGTGAACATGGCACCACTGAAGGGACTGTAGAACCGCTCAAATTTTATCACAGGGTTTTTCACATATGCAAGAAAAGTGCCAGATTGCACTCTTCGGTTTTCTGTACAATTTACTGAAAGGAGTGAATTTTGTGTGGCGCATTTTTTTTTGTTATAGCCATTTCGGAAACCGGCTTGTTCGGTAGGCTGGAAGTTGTTAAATCTGCGTGCGAGAAGATACGTAATAACTCCAAAAAAGCACATAAAATCGACTCCGAAGTGAAATCGGTCTATAGCTCTTCAATAGTCTTTTTTAAAGACAAGACCACCGCACTTCTGCTCCTCGTCTCCGAAGTAGTGCCATCATGAAGGACGGAATTAAAGAGTATAGAGGACTTTAAGTACAGGTGCGCTGAAATTCTATCCTCGCCCGTGGCCTTATCATCTTTAAAGTGCTATAGAACCAATCTAATCTCGTTTATACTGAACCCTAGTATATCATAGGATATCACCGGAATAGTTTTATAATTCCTTTAATTATAATAAAGAATATATTTTAAATAAAGAAAGAAATAGGACTAACCTTTTGCCACGACTTCTCTTCCCTTTCGCCGTCACTGTCAATTGCAGGCAAGCCGGCGACGTAGCTTTTCCGGTTCTGTAAAACGATACATTATTTTGGTCAAATTATATGTTATCAGTGATTATAACATAATTCCTATGTATTAATCATTTACCACTATCATATCAGAGTTTAGGAAAACCCGACTTTATAGATAAGATAGGTAGAATCTATACTAAAACTGTCTGTTTTTATGCGTGGTAGAGCCATGCTGCAGTTATATTATATAGTAGTATAGTTGTAGCAGTGGCGAAGCTAGGGCTCCAAACTAGGGCAAGCCCAAGATATGGTTTTGTTGTTTTTAGCAGTTTTATAAAAATACACCAATCTTGATCTGTCTCCACTCTTTAGTTTCATATTCACTGCTGTCGAGGACGTGTTTAACAAAGCACACAGAAGGCATACTACTGCTAGATTGTATGACATATCAGCAATTGCGTACCTTCGGTGACTTTGAAAAAAGCCGTTTGGGTTTGCTTGAGCGAAAGAAAAAGATATTTACATACAATACTATACATGAACAAAGTACAATGTACAAAATTAAAAAAAAAAAACAAATTATTTATATTCTAAATTGAATGGTCTCTCTTTCTAAGGAAAGATTTGATTACGTTCGCGTAAAATGTTAGTACTCGTAAACATTTTAATTGTACCAATAACTGTTTTTCAATTTTCAATTGAGCCGCTCTTGAACTTGTGAATTTTTTCAACAAAGTTTAAAGATTTTAACTTTTCCTCGCCGATTAGCAATTTAACACACTTCAATTCATTACAAAGCACACTCCTCTATATATATATATATATATATATATATATATATATATATATATATACTATGATGTACACTATATACTCTAATATTATCCTCCATTTTCACTAAAATCTTTGAAAAAGCATAAATTTTCAACAGACACAACAATAACAAACATTGAAATGTGAACTTTTAAACGTATCGCCCGCACGCCCGCGCACTCCTAAGCAACTTGACAGCAAAGCCCAGCTTTTGGTTCCATAGTAATTGCTATATAAATATTTAGTAGTTATATTTCATTACAGAACCTTTTGCGACAGGTTAGAAAGGGAGCGATCGTCTTCTCGAAAGCCCGGTAAAAAGCCAACGCGTGCGAGAGAGACGACTAATAGCTCAAATCAACCGCTTGCTTTCGTTAATTTTGACAGTCCGTTGCGTGTTCGCTTTGAGACAGAGAGACAAGAATCACTGCATTTCGAATTGAAAGCAAACTACCAAGTGTTGACGTTACATATATGCTACGAGGTCATGACCTTTGTAGAACAGAGGAGCGCGCGGGAAATTTGAAATAGTTTACGAGTCGTTTTATTAGTTGATATATTTTATTATTGATTGAGCAGATTGAAAAGGCAAGCCTGGCTTTTCGACTTCTATGGAGGCTTCGCCCTGAGTTGTAGCACGAATGGATCGGCTCGACCGGGGAAGGACCACGCTCCCACAGAATACCAGCGTAAAATAGTGGTGATTGTAGAAAACCGGATACCCCTTTTTTACTGGAAACAAGGCATTCTATTTCAGTCCTCACGGGTGACAACGCATCTGCATTTTGATTCGTAATCGAGGATAGATGTAGATGTCTATGGGCCACAGCAACTACTTACCATCAGGTGAACTGTGTGCTCGTTTGTCACCCTTATTCCATAAAAAAAAACAAATCATAATACTAAGATATATGTTGAAAATTAAATATATATTATATGTAAAAACATACCATTGTTACAATATTTGTTCTATTTGAAGTTGTTCAATTCTTCACTAGCTAATAATTTTAATTATGGGTTGTACATTCTCTACATAGCTTTGTTTTATTTTAAACATATAATTTAACAATAAATAATTTACTAATGATAATTGGATTTGTACAAGTTTTGTTTTCAATAGTAAAAAAATATTATGCCACTAGATGTCGCTAGTTGCCACCAAGGTTACACATTGTCATCATTATGGAAATGTGATTTAAATATAAGTTCTTCAGTTTCTAGTGTATGCAGCTTGTATTTACACAAAACAAATGCTTCAGTGTCGTATACCTTAATTTTTACATATTTTTAACCTTTTTAATTTTTCTACTTTTGCAAAAATAAGTGATATTCATTCTGTAAATACTAGAAACAGACACAAGCTAGTAGTACCAGTTAATCGACTCCACGGAGTCAGTAATTCACTCTTGGGGTGATGTATACGCTTTTACAATAAAATCCCAGAAAATTTACAAAATTTGTCATACACAAAGTTCAAAAATATTATTAAACTAAGTTTGTATAAAAAGGGTTATTATAATATTAAGGAATTTATGGACGGTAATAACCCCCGGGAAGAGTGATTGCTACCAAGCTATTTCTAATTTGTTTTGTATTGTTAATTGTGATATATACATGATTGTAAGCTCTTTTTTTTTTTAAATTATCCTTCCCAGGACAAAGTTTTTTTGCGAACCAGTGGTAAATGAAAAAAGTGACTTTCAATAAGTATTATTTATAGTCCATATTGAATAAAAAAGTTACTATGAATATCCATATTTTAGTTTATCAATTTCTTATATAATAAATAACTAATATTTCAGATAGAAATATTAATCTCTACATTTTCCTAACAAATTAAATTCTCTCACTATGAAATCTGTCAAATATTTCTCCTCATTTGTGAGTGATGTGACTCGGGTAGTAGCGTGGATGCACTTATTAATGGTATATGGGATCAACAATTTTAAGAGATTTAAAAGAGAATACAAATTAAAAAATCTGAGACAGCAATTGTAAATGTATTCAAGTGCCTTAGTGTGAGTTATTTGTTATAGTGCATCATAAATAGTTATTTTAAGACATGCTCAAAACAGCAATTGAAATTTTAACCAAAATAGTAGTCACACAGCTCCAGCATAAAGTTAAAAATAGTTATATACAAATTTAATTTTATAAATAGATAGGTAATTTTCTAAAGGCATTGTTTATAGAATGAAGAAAAAATTGAAATATTATAAGAACATATAAAATATAAATATTTAGTTAATATGGCAGAGTTGTGAAGGGATGGCTTAGAAGGAAATTTATTTATGAGTACACTTAAATGACAACCTCATATGCATAGATAATAAGTGGAAGGAGTCAAAAGAGGCGTATCAGGATTGTGCCAAATGATGTGAGTGAGAATAATGTATGTATGTGTAAAAGAATACAATGGAGATCCCTCTACTTTTTGCTACTTGTTGTTTTTGTCACTATCAGTCTTAATATTATTAGTTACTCATATTTATTTGGATCATACAATAATATCTTAGTCATTTATTGCTGCAAAGTTTATGACGGATAACGGATAAGCCTACAGGAGTAAGATACAGGGTTCTGATAGTTAAGCACTTTATGTTTTCATTGTAAGAAACATATGTTATTACGTACAAATAATAATGACTAAAGCTACAAAATCAGATAAAATTCCTGTCGAAGCTGCCTGGGAACAGCAATACTTCAGATGGTGGTAACAAATCACATAGATCACAGATTTGATTTATACATGTTAGAGCCACACTAAAGCTATAGCTAGAGTTATGGTTGTAGCACGAATGGGTCGGCTCGACCGGGAAGGGACCACATCCTCACAGATTACTAGCGTAAAATAGCAGCTTTTTACTGCTGTGTTTCGTATGGTGAGTGTGGAAATCCGGAGAACCTTTTACTGAATATGACGCATTCCATATTAGTCCTCAGGGGTGACAACGCATCTGCATTTTGATTCTTAATCGAGGTTAAATGTAGATGCCTTAGGTTCACAGCATCCACTTACCATCAGGTGGACTGTGTGCTCGTTTGTCGCCCTTATTCTATAAAAAAAATATGAGTCATCCTACTGCATAGTACTAGGTGGTGGGTTGGTATTAAGTGGTTGAATTCAATCCAAGCAGTATTATATGTACTGCTTTGTTCGAGTCTGAATGGTTTAGATAATTCATTAGAGATGACAATGCTATTTATAACAATCTTTCGTCATAAAAATGCTTTCTAGATGCATTTTGAATGTATGCAAAGGCAAATCAGTACCATAAGTAATAGGAATCTTGATCTAAATAGTTATATATAATACATCTACCCAAAAACAAGTCAATACTACCATGGAGTACTTAGAAACAGCAAGTTTAGTTTTATTGTGTATGTTATAATTATGGGCAACACTCATCTGTTACTAGCTTAGTCTTTTTTACTGCATTCACAGTTGAATTGGTTTCTTGACATGGCTTCAATATGAGGTCTCCATTGTAGGTAGGAGTTGTCAGTATATTTTTTATTACAACTATTTTCGAGATGTTTTTGCTATTAGTCTATGCGACCCTTGCAGCTTCATCTGACTCAAGGTTTTTTTTAATTAGTTAATTACTAATTTCAAAAAGGGAAAGGCAATGAACATGGGGATGATGAATGGTTTACGATTTGGTATTGTTATCAATCATCATGTCGCTTCGTTAGGCGTTATTGCGCTATCTAACCGCTGTCCGAGTGGGGCAGTGCAGATATTTTTTATTACTTTCCTTTATGAGCAAGAGTCAATTTTTGAACCAGCATCAAAAAGGAGGAGGTACGTACTCAATTCGACTGTATGTTTTTTTTATGTTACATCATAACATTTTCTAGGAGAATCGATTTTGATAGATAATTATTTTTATATTTCTAAGTTGATGTGATCCCATATAAATTTGATAAATATCTAAGCAGTAATTTTTGAGTTATCTTTAATAATGCATATTTGACTACAACTACATTGATGATATTCACATTTTATTAATTGAAGTTGGTTATACAAAATTTACAATTTTACCACTTGTGTAGTACTAAGGAGTGTGGAATCCACTAACCCAAGTATTTTATAGTTCAATCTATAATGAGTATACTCGCCTTACATTTGCTAAAGAAAATTTAATGTATTTTGTTTTAGTGGTCTTCAAAAGTTTATAGTTGTAAACCAGTGTACCTTAAATGTGAGAAACATACAGCATCATTTACATCACATAAGTTTTTACCTATATTTTTAACAATAGCGAGACGCCATAACAACATAACGTTTACATATTGTGATAACATTGCATTTTTATAATTATCACATATTTTAAATAATTGCAATTATTTACCTTGTAATTCAAAAGCACTTGAATTTATATATTTGTATCTAAACTAAAATCCACCGAAGTTAAACATTTAATTGAAATTATTTTAATTACATAGTTGCGTATATACTTATGTTAATAAAACTATCTCTATAAATGTGTGACTGTGCATCCCTTATAAACCTCGATTTTAATCTATTGATACCTTTATCTTATCTTTATGATGTTGAACAAGTTATCATAATATTCTTTATTTTACAACCAATTAAATTGTTTTTACACTAAAATTTTCGAAGGTACGTGCAAAGTTTTTATCTACTATAACACTTTCCTCATATATTTACTATACACTGTAATTCCGATCACCGTTGAATAATGGTTAACAATGGATAGAAATTAAACATTTAAACAAAACATAAGTAATAAAGTTGTAACGATACGTAGGTAACTGTATTGTACAAGAAATTGTCTTAAAATGCATGAATACAAATAAATAAAAACACACATCACACACAAACACAAACAAGAAAAAGTTGAAAAGCCGCTGACCAATATTTTTTTATTTAACTGGCTTTACAGCTCTGGGTTCTAGCCTATCTGAGCCTAAAATTTTTCGGAATCTTTTTAGGGTTCCGTAGTCAACTAGGAACCCTTATAGTTTCGCCATGTCTGTCTGTCCGTCTGTCCGTCCTCGCTTAATCTCTGTGACCGCTAGCACTAGAAAGCTGAAATTTAGCACCAATATGTGTATCAATCACGCCGACAAAGTGGTAAAATAAAAATTGGAAAAAAATGTTTTATTAGGGTAGCCCCCCTATATGTAAAGTGGGAAGTGATTTTTTTTTTAATTTCAACCCTAACGTGTGATATATTGTTGGAAAGGTATTTAAAAATGAATAGGGGTTTACTAAAATCATTTTTTGATAACGTCAAGAATTTCGGAAATAATCGCTCCAAAAGTAAAAAATAATGTGTCCCCCCCCCCCCTCTAACTTTTGAACCATAAGTTTAGAAAATATGAAAAAAATCTGGAAAGTAGAACTTTATAAGGACTTTCTAGGAAAATTATTTTGAACTTGGATGGAAACAACAGTTTTTCTACAAATTCATAGGTGGGAACACTTACTGTGACGGACGGGAAACTACGGAACCCTACACTGAGCGTGGCCCGACACGCTCTTGGCCGCTTTATTTTTCTCAATATGCCGATGGCGTCACATTGCGAAGTTATAAGGAGATTTTGTTGACAGCTCAACCCAGCGGATACTGGGCTAGCTTACGAGCTGCTAGTCGATGAGTTTAAAAGCTAGCGAGTGAGCGAGTAAGAAAGTGTCGATGACACAAAAAAACTTTCCACTCGCTCAGTAGCGAACTAGCTAGCTAATCTCAATATAATATTTCTATAGGCCAAAGGATCTTAGTCCTTCAACTCTCTCAATAAACCACTGGAAGCACCATATTCATCGCGTTTTTCTATCCACGATCTTATTCATTTGCTTTTCTCTTTCAGGTTTTTCTTTAGTTTATGTTGTAAATCCTTCTTGATAACATGACCTAAAAAAACTACTCCCGCGTGAACTACATCTTTTAACATTTTAACTTAAACTACCAAAACGAAAAGA